ATGGATTTCATTACTTGTTTACCCAAGTCAGAGGGTTGCGGGAGCATTATAGTGGTGGTAGATTGGTTCAGCAAGTATGCCACCTTCATACCCGCACCAACAGATTGCACGACAGAGAGGGCAGCAGAATTGTTTGTTGACCATGTGGTCAAGCTTTGGGGAGTTCCAGAAAACATTGTCAGTGACAGAGACCCGCGCTTCACGAGTAGATTTTAGACGGGGCTCTTCAAGAAGATGGGGATGGATCTCAACTTCTCTACGAGTTTCCACCCCCAATCAGATGGGCAGACGGAACGCATCAACGCTCTCCTGGAGCTTTATTTGAGGCACTATGTGAGTGCCAATCAACCAGATTGGGCCAAACTCCTTAGGGTGGCACAGTTTTCTTACAACTTGCCACGGAGTGAGGCTACCAATCACAGTTCATTTGAGGTTGTTACCGGATGGCAGCCTATGACACCCAACGTCATTGCTTTGACTTACGATGGTAAGAGTCCTGCAGCCTATAAATTTGCCAAGAGGTGGCATGAGCAGTCCGACTTGGCTAGGGCGTACCTTGACAAGGCGGCAAAGAAGATAAAGAAGTGAACCGGCACCAAGCGAAGGCGGGTGGAGTACATAGTGGGACACTAGGTGATGGTTAAGCTACTACCCCAACAGTTTAAGTCCTTTCGGAGCGTGCATAAGGGGCTAGTAAGGAGGTACGAGGGCCCGTTCCCCATTGTCAAACGGGTGGGTAAGGTCTCCTACATGGTGGAGCTTCCACCCAAGTTGAAGATACATCCAGTCTTCCATGTCAGCATGTTCAAGCCTTATCATGAAGACACGGAAGACCTTACTTAGGGCATATCGCATAGGGCACCCACGGCCGTTGTCACATCCTTTGACAAGGAAGTTGATGGCATCCTTGCGAATCATGTGATGAGCAGACGAGGTGTGCCCAAGTATACAGAATACTTAGTGAAATTGAAGAACCTGCTAAATAGCGAGGTGAGCTGGGAGCACGAGGATACACTTTGGCAGTTCGCGGAGCATATCCAACGGTTTAAGCAAGAAGACGCGACGAGGGCGTCGCGAGCTTAGGTGGGGGAAAATGTCATGCCCCGCAACCAAGAGGCTACGCCACGCAGGCACCACGCAGACGATGACATGGAGCTTGCTTGGATCGGAGCTCTCTAGATTTCTCTACACAAGTATGGAACTTTCCGGAATTCTTTAGATTAGTGTGGAGTTGTCTAGGCTTTTCTAGACTTGTCTAGAGTTGTATAAAATTCTCTAGACTTGTCTTGTACATTCTATATAGTTGTGTAGATATTTCTTTGGAGGATTCTAGACACTCAATCTAGGCCACACATTTGTACACATCTAGAATGTTCTTTTAAGGCCAAAGGCCTATAAATAGGAGGTGGGAGTTCATTTGCTCCTCACCAAGCAACCAAGTTGTAATCTCTTCTCTCAAGCAATACAAGTTCTATACATTCCCAAACTCTCTTGCTCACTTGTCTAACCTCTTCCTACACACCTAAGTAAGCAAAACACTTGTCTAGCCTTAGTCTTCACTAAGCTAGCACACTCGGGTAGGCTGACTTAGCGTTTCAAGGGGGCTTGAAAGTGTCTAAGGCTGCACGTGAGCTTGGAAAGGTCCAAGTCCGTGACATTACACTTTAACTAAACTCTCTGCTATGCAATCTTTTTGTGTTTGCCTAAAAAAAACAAAAAACAAAAACAAAAAACAAAAAAAAAAATCAAAACTAAAAAGTTTGCGACTCCATAATGTTGAGTGTGCTCTGAGAAAAAGTATTTTATTAAGGAAATATTACTTACCGATCATGTCATTTCAAATATTAAAGACACTTGCACACACCAAAAATAAATAAATATAAAATTCCAGAATACCAATACCAACAATACCAAACGCGACTTAAATTAATACAACTTTCGTAAAAAAAAAATAAAATAAAATAAAATAAATAAATAAATAAAATAAACATTCACAATCAAATATGAAAGCCTTTCTCAACCTCAACTTACATTTACATTGTTTATTAAGGGCTCTACCAAAATCCATGTTAAAAGATAATGAATCTGAATCAGACCTTGCTTATCAAGGTGGGCAATCTGAAGATAAAAAATATTAAACTTTCAATTTTACATTACGCAAAAAAAAAAAAAAAAAACATTACAATATCTAAAGGTGCGTTTAGTAACCTAATCGTTTTCTGTTTTTGTAATTTTAAGAAAGCAGAAACATGATTTTGCTTTCTTGAGTGAAAATAGAAAGCAAAAATGATATTTATTAACACTTGTTGTTGTCACAAATTTGAAAATATAAAATAATAACTATGTTTAATAATACAACATATTTGTTACAAAATGTACATAATATTATTTAATTTTTTTATTTTATTTTTTATTTTATTTATTTCTATTTTATTTTTTCCATGGCAAGAATTTTAGAAGTTAGTGATTAGAGGGGAGCATAGATAACTTAAATACGAACTCTCGGACACAGGGTGCAACCCAACCACTCTAGCACAACCATAGTTGTTAAAGGCTCAAAGCGCACTAAGGCGCCAAAGGCCTTCTGGAGCCTAAGCGCAAGGCGCAGTATAAGGCGCGAGCCTGATCGAAGTAAGGCACAGTATAAGGCGCGAGCCTGATCGAAGTAAGGCGCATGTATATAATAATGCATATTTAACAATATATTATTATATATATTCATAATCAAGCAATAATTACAGTTAATGTTAGTAGTGAACAATAAATTTATGAATTTCGTCAAATATTTCACAAGGTTAAACAATACGATTTATACTATAGAACCTTTTAATTTAGTAGCCATTAAGTAAAAAAAGAAAATGATACGAATAAATGATTAGAAAATACTAGACGCGCCTTTTCTGAGCCTGGAGCCTACTAAAAAGTTATGTGAGCCTGATTGAAGGGCCTGGCCTATAGTAGGTTGAGGCGCTTTCGCTGAGCCTTGATGAGCCTGGGGCTTTTTTGGAGCCTAGGCGCACCTTTAACAACTATGGGCATGACACTTGCTTCCATTAATATCAAAAAGTCATAAATTTAGAAAATCTAATTTAAAATTATAAATTGTAAAAATACCCAATACATCATACGTACAAAATTAGATATACCAAGACAAAAATATTCCCACCAATTATGTATATAAATACATGTATATGTATGATGTGTACATTTATTATGTGATATATAATATATTTAACAGAAGATATTGTGTTATAATATTGTAAATTAATTATAATTTAATATTTACATATAATATAATATAGATATGATATATAATAATTAAAATATCTATTACTTGATAATTTAATAACATTATATTCTATATCAAAAACTATTTTGTCACAAAAAATAATTTACATTATTATTTAATATATTATATATTAAAATATATTTTTATCAAATAAAAAATAATATATAATATCTAATTTATTCTATATTAAAAATTTATATTTTTATTAACATTTATTATGTAACTTAGTATATTACACAAATAATATGAATTTTATTTGAAATGAATAATACTGTACAGTAACATTAGTGAAAACGTTTTTGCGTTACAGTGCCGAAAATATAAGAAACATTATTTTGATATTTTCACTTTTCTTCACAAAAATTAAAAACGTTTTCTGTTATAGAAAAACAAAAATATTTTATTAAACGTGATTTTTGTTTTTGTTTTACCATTTTAGAGGTTGACAACAATAAACAAGAAACATTTTTCCTACTAAAGGCAGCCTAAACTTTTTCATTTATTATATAGATTTGACAAATAATAAATTACATATGCATGACTTGTTTTGCTCGACATACAGCTTGGAGTAGCTCCAATGTCATCATAATCAAAAAGTACAGGTCCTTGCCTGATCAAGTCGCCTAATATGTCTTTTCAAAAACAAAAGGTCAAATTCCATAGCATCTGTTTTGTAGATTGTATCACTGAGTGAAAACAATTTTGTTATCATATTACTTATAAGCAATACCAATCAAACAGATCAAATAGCTCTGAATCATGAAATATTCATCTTGACAAGAAATTATCTACACAATAAAATAGATATTACAAACACTAAGGGCTATATCTCAGTTCGGTAGAGCACCTCGTTTACACGCACGCCAATGTTTTTCAGGAGAGTCCATCATGCAATCAAAAGAATTGATACGATCAACCAGACCTTTTATTATTATTATTATTATTCTTGGTAGCCGAACTTTAAGATTCATTGAATACATGCATTTAATATCGTTCCACATGCATACATTGATCCTGCCAACAGGCCAAATACATATCATTAATACATTACATGTGAAAAATATTTTAAACTACCTTTCATTGAACATGGATTTTTGGGGCTTTAGTTGTTGCACTATGATTTCAACACGCACTTGTTGAAAAACATAGGCATTTGATCACTAGACGCATCTAATTAATTGAGAGGTAATTACGTTGTCTTAAATTAATGTTGACACACATCATCATCATCATAGTGAATAATAACATAAAACTCAATACTAGTCAATTTTCTAATTTTTCTTTCAAAATCAGATCCAAATCCAGGGACTTTAGATCATGTAAGCTGGGTAATGATCCAAAGGGCTTGGTGTATGAAAGACATACTAGATTCTAATTATTCTTTTTTTATTCCCTACCAAACTAGGGGAGGGGGGACCTGAACACGAACATACCTGCTTCCGCTCGGGGAGCTGGGCGCTCTACAGTTCTACCAACTAGGCCACTAGGTAATATGCCCATAGATGCTAATTATTCTTTCAAACAAAATGACTTCTTGCCAACCAAACAAACCAAATGGTAGGTAGAGAATAAAATAATAGATATAGAGAATGAAAAAAAAGGAAAAAAATGCAAAACAGACTAAAGCAAGTAGAAATGCAGGAACATAATGCCAAATGTGAAAAAATATGTATAGTACAAGCAATTTCACAGAAACTTTAAAGCTTGCATCTTTAACATCAAATGGAAACTGAGAAGATAAAAATTTAAATAAAAACTTCTAAATATGATACAAAAGTAATATATAACCTATTCCATAAATCTAAATGAACAAAGAAGAAAGCTTAATTGAGATTATTGAACGCCATCAGTACTTTAGGCTAGCAGCTTCAAATATAGCCAAGGTCAGTAGGTAAGGAATCCCAAGAAGCATTTCAGGCTGAGGAATCCCATTATTTTCTTGAAAGGAAGGGCAATTGAGTCACGATGCACTAGAACACTCTATGGAAGGGCGAAATGATGTATTTATAACCCCCCAAAACCAAAGCATTACAATTTTTAAATAATGACAAAATTACATGCACGAAGTATTACATTGACGACGATTTGCAACCTTCTATTGTCATGTAATGCAAAACTTTTCCTCGAGGAACTAAATTACAGTAACACCTAATCTCAGGTAACAAAAAATGAAGGCAATTCTAGCGACTCAACACAGTTACTTCAACACTCTTGCAGTTTCTCTACTTAGGTAGTCGAAATTCAGCACACACCTGATCGGTCATTGAGTTTTGTGATGCCGCTCCTTTCTATATCGAGATTGACCAGGATCAAACCCACCTTCCTCTGCTCCATAGACAGCCCAAGATGGGGTGGCAGCCATGTAATCATTGCTATTAAAAGGTCTTCCAGAAGCCACCTGAAAAGAGAACAAAAATCTTAGATGCACATATTTAATATGATGCTATGGAAACGCACACTGAAAGGTTATAACAGAGTAGGGGTTACCAAGTCATGAAACTTTTCATAATCTATCCATGTGAACCATTGGCCATTGACCTTAAACTTTTCAACCCTTGCCAAGAGGACACAACATGAGTGGACATGCTCACAAGCAACCTCATATTCCCCTTTGCTTTTTTGAGCTAAGGCCTCTGAAAAAGCTTTCACGTCAGCATGCCATGGCACATTCTCCATGGTCAACTTTGATGTAGCAGACCTGTTAAAAATTCTCTTGATTATGTCAGTACAGGATGCTGATTGATGCATGTGTGCAGGGGATGATTAAACAAGAAAAACTTACGTTCCACAATAGGTGACGCCTTTAATTTCAACAAAATCAGGTGTTCCGATGTCAAATAGGCTAAAATAGGCATCTATGTCCTCTGTATTCCACCCTTTAACCAGTGTCAAGCGATACACAGTTCGCTGCTGCTTCTCTCGGAGAGCTGTCAAGGAATCCTGGCATTGATTTTTGCAAATTAATCGCAATAAGTAATGCCTAGATGATAGAAAACTAAGGTGGAAGATCACATATGGGAATCCATGTGACAGTAACTGAGCATTATTGCTGGTTCCTTCACAACAGACATTCCGAAGATGGATCCATAATCTAATGCGTAACAAGATATTTTCATGACAGAAATGAATCCAAGAGGATAATCACTCCTAAGAAATCCAATGCGTTAAAAATTGAGAGGAACAATAGACAGAATGATTCGGAAAAAAAAAAATATGGAAGCAGCAGTTGTTAAGTAAGCACTTGGTAAAAGTAAAACATCATTCACAGGTTCAGTACAAATCAGGCAGTGTCAAGAACCAAGGGACAGGTTAATTCTCAGTGTTTAACATACGAGGTATAGGAAGAAAATGACAGTAAAAGATGACAAGTTACAAGAAAGTGGAAGATGGAATATGACATAATTTAATGAATACCAGAAACCTCCTAAAGTGAATTCATATGTCAAACAGAGATATTATAAAAAAGTAGTATGATTACAGATCAAGAATTAGTTTTCCACATTGATTCTCTATCATGGGCGCTCATGTCAGCCGACAAGGAAGCATATACATATATATGCTAAAACTGGTGTTACTACAATAGAGTTGTTTGTGGAAGACTACTTTTGACCCACAACCAAGTTTTACACATTGTTGCCAGATATTTTTTTTAAAATCGGCCAAGTTAAAACAAGGGAGGATTTTGTTCTGTTAAATTATATGGATGCAGTAAATGATTGGGGATCAGTAATTCAACTATTCTGCTTTAATGCTGTCTTTTGTGGTTTTTCAGTTCATCCAACCACCAGGGGAACAAAAAAAAGGTCATCCGATCAGGGAAAAAATGTTAAGGTGACCAAATTAGAGTTGTTTATGGGAGATCATTTTACTACTCTATGCAATAACTTTTGATGTTTTGGATCATTATTATCCGTTATTTCTTTGTTACTATCTACCTTTCTCTTTCCACCTTATATTTTTTTAAACAAATCTCCTCATTCCGCTACATAATTTCTCTTGAAATATATTTAGTGTAATTCAACCACCCCGCCCCACCCAAAAAAAAGAAGGTAAATTACAATGACCTCCCCTAAGGTTGGCCTAATTGCAAGTAGACGAAACTATTGAATTTTTTTGCAGCAAGTCCCCCTGAGGTTTGACCCCTTTTTGCAAAGACCTCCCCTCGGTACAAAAATCAGTATTTTTTGTCAGAAAAAATTGATTGAAGTGACCAAAATGCCCTTCAACTAAGTGAAAAAGGCCCTATTACCCTTATAGTGCCATCACATATACACAAAAAAAAAAAAAAAAAAAAAAAAAAAAAAAAAAAAAAAAAAAAAAAAATCTTATTTTAATGGACCAAAGTACCCTCTTCTCCCTTCAAGTATTCTCCTCCACGGCCTTCTCTCTCTAAAATGAATTCTATTGATGAACAATAGAAGAGGCATTTGGGTTTGAATCAATTGAATTCAATCTCTCATCATTTGTACACTATAAAAATCATAATCATAGTAGTTAAAGGCTCAAAGCGCACTAATGCGCCAAAGGCCTTCTGGAGCCTAAGCGCAAGGCGCAGTATAAGGCGCGAGCCTGATCGAAGTAAGGCACAGTATAAGGCGCGAGCCTGATCGAAGTAAGGCGCATGTATATAATAATGCATATTTAACAATATATTATTATATATATTCATAATCAAGCAATAATTACAGTTAATGTTAGTAGTGAACAATAAATTTATGAATTTCGTCAAATATTTCACAAGGTTAAACAATACGATTTATGCTATAGAACCTTTTAATTTAGTAGCCATTAAGTAAAAAAAGAAAATGATACGAATAAATGATTAGAAAATACTAGACGCGCCTTTTCTGAGCCTGGAGCCTACTAAAAAGTATGAGTCTGAGGACTTTATGTGAGCCTGATTGAAGGGCCTGGCCTATAGTAGGTTGAGGCGCTTTAGCTGAGCCTTGATGAGCCTGGGGCTTTTTTGGAGCCTAGGCGCGCCTTTAACAACTATGATCATAATCAATATGAGAATGAACACCCTACATATATATATAAACACACACACACTTTTTAATCATATACATGTAAATCACTGAATAATCTTTTGAATCCAATCTCTATTTAACAATCCATCCCATCCTTCTATATATACACAGTCACACAAGTTTTTTTTCCCTCTAAAATGCAAAACATTTGAGTTTGAATCATTTGAACCCAATCAGTAACATAAAAAGAATGAACACCAAATATATAAAAGCTTGTGAATCTGAAGGGATCAATTCACTAAAAATTTGAGAAATAATCTTTTGTGAGTATGAAGGTTAGCCTTTGTGACTATATGTGGCTTGTCATAACACAGTTCAGAGGATCAATGTTATGCCTTGAACAGCTACTGAGATACCGAAACTAGACAATACGACATAATATGAAGATGATGTACTGAAAATATGAAAACCCAGGAAAAAAAAGTTTAAATAATGTGTAATTTGTAAAGGTCAGCATCTTCAAATTATGTCATTTAAATTTTTGTTTAACTGCCAAACCAAACCGGATAAAGCTGGCTCTTTTTAAGTTCACAACTCACAGATCCCTCCCCCCCAAACCTCTGCTGAAACCATTATTCTCAGACTGAGACATTGATGTATAATTCCTCGAGAAAAGCTTAACAAAATAAAAACATGAGCCAACATTTACTATCTGTTTTCTCCACTCCATTCCACTCCTTAGACAAGCACAAAACAACCCAGTTGCCGGAATCTGGGTTCTTACAAAAAGATGAACAGAATTCCGATTAAGCGGATCCATTGTCATGCGTTTCTCTTATTGCCAGCAAAAAAAAACTGGGCTTGCAATGGAAGATTTTTCCGGCGAGATCGATCAAGGAATCAAGAAGGGCAGCCGGAGAAACGGCTTCACAAGGGCGGACCAACGGAAATGTCAGAATCTGGCGATTAGACTGATCATACTTGTTGATCATTGAAGAAGATGAATAAATTGAAGAAACAAACACAAAATGACGGGTTTCAGTCTTCAATGGCTGATCGGCGGTGTTTGGCAGATGTTTGTGGAGGTAGAGAGAAGAAGAGGGGTGGTGGCGGCTATGGCGATGGGTGGAGGTGAGAGAACTAAGAACACTATTGTGTCCGGTGTCTTGACATATATGAATGGGCCAAAGGGTCATTTACTATTTTCAGATATTTGTACTTTTTTAACAATATAATAAGGGAAGATAAGTGAAATCACATCAAAATCTGACATAAGAAGGTCTTTGTATTAAAATGGCAAACCTTTGGTTTATTTGTAATCAGGCCAAACCTCAGGGGAGGTCATTGTAGTTTACCCCACAAAAAAAAAGGGACAATGAAAGAAAGAAAAAGTAGAGTTGATAATAGATGTTTTCAGGTCAATTATCCAAATTCCAATAAGAATTACTCACAATAAATCGCTCCCAGAAATCCCCAAACAGTGGCCTATCAATTGCCTTCAAGCTGTCCTTTGTTGCAGCATCTACACTAACGTATAACTGCACAAGTCAAAGAAGTTAAATAAATCACATTAGATGTCAACATCAAAGAAATTAAATATGTCTACTACGTATAAAACTAAAATGAGGACAAGGCCTGCAAACCTGGGTGATAGGTTTCAGCATCTTAATCTTTTCAGGGAACTGTGCATTGGTGACCAGAAAAGTAGAAATACGCCTCCGGTGCAGTTCATCTACAAGTGAGTTAATCTCTGGATACATGATAGGTTCACCAACAAGTGATAAGGCACAATGCCTAGGGGAAAGACCTTCCGATAAGCGCTCCTGTTTAACACCTGCAGGCAAATTTGCCTTGTCAATTTTGTGCATTGGCTTATATCACAATTCTCTCTATACATTATCATCGAACTAGAATGAAAACACAAAGCCTACCAGGAACTCCTTTCATTTGCCTTATCATTTTTGTGTGCAGGTCTATGGCAGAGTTCACAATATCTAAAGGATCATCCATCTTCCATCGCCAGCTCTTTCCTACAGGATTTGTGTGATGCCTCCAACAGAAAACGCATTTGTTGGCACATGCCAAACTTGGAGTTGTCTCCATGCACCTGTTTCATTTCCAGCAAAAGGGAGGAAGAAAAAAAGAAGAAAAAGAAATTAAATTGTCACCAATGAATATCATAGCTGATGTGTAAATTAAAGAAATAGCAATAAGACTTCATTATCAGATCAGAAGTCGGTAGCAAGTTAGAGAAAGTGTTTTTAGTTGTAAGTAAAAGGCAAGGAGCTTCAATTGATGAAGAAATGAGGTGCAATCCTTTGATACTGCCGCGCATAACTAGAGCAGCCAAAGAATGGATCATACCGACCCTACATATAGGAATTGGTGTCTTACAATAAATAAAAACCTATAGGCCACATGAGAAACAATACATATAGCAGATACTAAATCTTGATTGCCTCATTTATACAGGATTTAATACATAAACATATGAATATATATATATATATATATATAATACCATACATATACCAAAAATATATATAAAAGATACGTACAATGCACATAAGATATATGTTAGTGTAAAGGTACTCTATGAGTATAAGAAGATATTTGGAGGCTCTTTTTTACTTTCTTTATATATTTTTTTCACCATTCAGAAAAATAATAATAGAACAACAAAACCAAATATAAAAAACATTTAACCATCTGCAATTGAACATGCATTTTATAGACCTTGAATCACTAAGCTGTAACTTGGAACTCAAAAGATTCAGCAGCACATTACACATTGTAAAATCTGTCAAAAATAAAAGCATTACTTGAATTTATGCAATATCCGAAGTCCAAAACTAACAAAAATGAAGTAGTTATAAGGAATCACCTATGACTCTCTATTCCATAAAACGAGTGCTTGTAGCAGCCTCCACGCCCTCTGAGTTGTGACTTGGTCCATCTACAAAGTTTAACACCGCTATGTGAACCAATAATTTTATATCCCTGCAAAATTATGTCATTTAAGACATACAGTTAAAACAAGAACTGATCTAAAAGTAAAAATAAATGGTGTAAAATCATTTATAAGTTGAGCCAAAATCATATGCAAGGCTACTATGTGAATGTATCATTCTTAAGATAGAAAGAAGCATCAGAGATACAGATTATTTACCAAAAAATTTAAAAGTGATGGTAAGAATCCAATGGATCCTTTCTAAAGATTTCACTCTGACAGTTTGCAAAACCAATAAACACCGAGTTTCTTTATATTCAAGACTTCCAAATTCCAATCATTTCAAGCTGCATACTGTGCAAGCAAGAATTGACTGTCAACCTTAGTAAGCTTCACCATAATAATTATCATTTTTTTTTTTTTTTCGCGCTGGGGGGGGAATGGAAATGATGAAGAAAATATGAAATGGAGAAAATGCTTGAAAATGGGGCGATCTGTATTAGATGAAAATGTCCAAACCAATTTACAATTACAACAAATATATATACATAAAGAAGAAGTAATATTCATAAAATTGCAACTTGTAGAAGGGATTAATGGGTGTCTTCGGACACAAAATTGTTGAACTGAATGATGTACTTCAAGATCTATGAGATGGTAAAAATTATAATTTTTATATGAAATCCTGAACATTTGAATAGAAAAAACCAAAAAGTGAAAAAATTACAAGCAAACAAAAGTTATGAAATTCAACCTATAGAAAAAAACTAGCTGAGCATACTTTAACAAAAAGAGAACGAAATACTTACAAAAATTAAGTGAAAGCCCAAAAACTGATACCATTGGTTCAAATCCTAACATACTCTTATTTAAACTAGCACTCTAGAACTTCGAAACAAAAATAGAGCCAAGCTTCAAAAAAAATTCTCATGCATCATCGCACTAAGATACTAAATAAAGCCATTTAGAATACAAAACTACAGAAATTTTCTCATAAAAACCCCATTGGTCAAATTCCTTATTCACCAATTGCAACAAGAAGAAACTTTAAAAGATTACCTGTTTTTCTAAGCTCGTTCTAATTACTGGAGTCACCATTTCTTTTTCGCCATTCACCAGCTTCCCATTAGATTCAACAATTGTTGTTGCTTTCCTTGAAGGACCTTTCCCTGCAATGTCCTCAAGATCAACAATACTCGATTCCAAGGCATTCTCTTCCTCCTCATCATCATCATCCGACCCATCAATTATCTCCGAGTCACTGTCATTAACAACCCCAGAAGCAATAATACCCCCATTTTCCGAACAACCACCTTTCAAAACTCCAATCAACTTCCCACTCCAAACATCAAACACCTCATCCAAACCACCTTCGTCAACATCACCCTCACAAACAGGCAAAACCTCCGCCGCCCCAAGCGCTCTCATCCGCTTCGAAAAACCCCTCGCCACGGCATTAAACGCCGCTCCGTAGGACCGGCTTCCAACCCCAAAGACAGCAAATTTACACTTGCTAAGCAGCAGCGATCCGACTCTGAAGTCATCGGCACTCTCCTCCAACCAATTCCCAAAGAATCCACCATTCGGAGGAGGCTTACCGTCTTCCCAGGTGGAAGCGACGATCAATACTAGGGTTTCCAAATGGAGGTCTTCGGGCTCGTAGTCCTTTGGATCGACGAGGTCGAATGCGAGACCGTTGGAGGTGAGAAGATCGAAGAGACGCCGAGCTAGGGCTTTGGAAGTACCGGTCTGCGACACGAAGAAGAGTTTGGCTCTGCGTGGAGTGAGATTAGGGTTAGGGTTAGGGTTAGGGTTTGAGATTGAGGAGAGTTTGAGGCGGCGAGACTTGTAGAAGCAGTAGAAGGTGGTGGCGGAGAGGAGGGCGAGGAGAGTGAGACGAGCGGGGACGGAGGCAGAGGACACGTTTGTCATTTTTCACTTTGGTTTCGCCCTTTTAGGACATCGTTGGCTTCACAGGGACGAGATGGTTAGTTTAATTCTTCATTTTGCGCGAAATCACTGAAGCTGGTGTTTGTCGCCGAAGATCGGGGAAAGGCGGCAAAGAAGCACACACATACACACACTGGGAGGTGTAACAAGAATTTTGTTTTATGATTTTTGCAAAAAATAAAAATTATAAAAATGATAAATTATACAGTAGTCACTTCAATTATTATGTCTACAAATATTCGCAATAGTATATATTCTTCATTTCAAATGAAAAGTGGAAGATTGCAAATTCAAAAAACAAATAAATGTGTGCGGTTTTTTATTTTTTACAAGTACTGTATTATTTTAATTATTATTATTATTTTGAATTGTTTTAATTAGAAAGTTGATAAAGTAAAAAGAGGAAGACAAATCTAGGTCGTTTTGTAATTTAATTTTGATATGCAAGCCAATTTATGACAATATATTAACCATAGAGGAAATTAGTGTTATTTTTAGATAAAAAAATTAAGTTTTGCCTGTAATTAATTATATTAAATTTATTTGTTTCAGGAGTATTTTATACATGTAAAAGAAAAGGTCACAAACATATGGATCCTATGATTCCTATAAACAAATAAACTCCTCCCAAACACACTCACTTTTTCAAAAGAGCAATGTTGTTGGCTAGTTCTGCCACTCTTTTACAAGAACTGGTTCAACTTCAATATCAAATTTTTTTTTTTTTTTTTTAATCTCAAAAGCATGCTTTATAATTGGCTTGTGTTAATTTATTAAATAAAAAAAAAAAATCCGAAATAATAAATAAACTGATCAATTTAAACAGCATTATTAAGCTTGTTTATCAAATTGACTAGGCTTGTTAAGTTAATTTCTGATCATTCTCTTAAACAATATGACTCATTAGGATTTTAAACTGATTTCTTAAATTAATCTTAATTGTAAGCTAAAAACATAATTAAACATAATTTCTGAGCATTCTCTTAAACATAATTAAATGTCAACTTCATTGAATCCTAACATTTTCTGGATTCATTTATAATGAGCCCAGAAAAACCAATGCCAATGCCACCAATCAGGCTTCTGTTAGATGATTGTGCAAGAAACTAACTTTTACATGTTCAGAATATATAGAAAAAGCAAATATTTGAAGCCAAGTGAAATCCAACTAGCCTGAACTTGTAGCATTTCATGACCTAAGTCACATGAAACGAGAACGAATTCGAGAGCAGGAGCGCGTAAGCAAAATTCAAGTCACACAGAAGCAAGAGCGCGAGCAGAACATGAGAGCTAGAGCTCGCTCAGAACGTAAAAGCAACACCCGTTGAGAAGGATTGTGTAACTCGGATTCATGACAACCCACTATTAAGATCTCCAAAATGGATAATGAACTTCACTCCCCAGCCAATTTATAAATAAACTCACAACTTTAATTGACAAAAACACAATAAACATAGATTTAGAACATGTGTGTAATAACAATGATAACTGCATCTTGCCATTTGCATTTCCTTTTTCATCTTCTAAAAAAGATCAACAACTAAACAATCACAGCTATTTGGTGCATTGCGTAAAATTGAGAAGTTGGGGCCACTGAAATAAAGATGTAATCACTACAACAGAATTGGATTTAACACTGCAATTGTTAATGAAATATTTAAAATATACTCAATTTTTTAAGGCTAGAAAAAACAAATACATCAATTTTTTATTTTATTTTATTCAATAAAAGAAAGGACTCCTGCAGTTGATGCTGAACATAATTGCTTTCATTTCCATCAGATGTCAAAATACACCCCAAAAATCAATGAGTACAAAGAAAAAAAATTGTGAAATGGTAGTATCTGACAACTGTCATGTTAGTAATAACGAACAAATGAACTTGTATATCTCACAAAATTGATAAAGAAAATCAATGCTCTTCCTTCGAACACAAGTGAGCTTAAAAGCTTGCCTTGGTTTTGTTGTATGGTAAAGGAGGGGAAGAATGTAACCTGAAGCCACCGGGGGTCACTCGATGCACATTGCAAACAGAGTTTCAAGGCCGCCACATAGTTTTTTGGACACACATGAGACCCTCCTTATCTTGAGCATAAGTCATCCGGACCTCCCAATGCAAACTTCTAAATATTTCCTGTAGAGGATCAAGTATCTCCATCTTATCACGTAGAATTGCCCAACCGCCAGGCCGTAATACACGATCCATCTCAACAACAATTGCCACTGGCTGCTTACACCTGCAAAACCGACTTTCAAGAATCAAGAACAATGATCATAAGAAAATAAATCTAATTTCTTCTTATCTCGAAAATATTAAACACATTGTCACCATATTTATTTTTCTTTCTTCTTTTTTTTTTTCCCACTATTTCGAAACATTACGTGGAAAATAGATTGCAATAAGATGGACTGTTAAGCTATTGCTTAAAAAAAATAGCTATACAATGCAAAGAAAATACAAACTACCATAACAATTATCATTCTTAACTAGTTCCAGTAAACTGTTACTAATAATTTTAAACCTGATCTTAATTTATCAAATAATGTCTTTAAATCAAGTGCTAAAATTATATATCTAATAGACTCCAGTATGTGTGTCGGGTGTGGGTACAATCAAGTCTAATACTCATATTTAACAAATATTCAAGCCTAATGACATGGGGACATCACTATGCATTCATATCTATTTCTTTAATATATATATATATATATATATATATATATATGTATATTTGTTTCCTAGGGTACAAAGGTATTCTTATCTAATATAGAGTGTTCAACATAGGCACTTCATCCACTTAAACCAAAATTATAATAAAGGAACATAGTATGAGAGCTTATGTGCAATTATATATACTTGAATTATCGGATATGTTTTGCTGCATGTCCTGTGGAACACATATTCCAGTACCAAGGTCTCATGTGTCCAACATGGGAACTCTGCATGCATTTAGAAGGGTCCATGTAAAAGTAGACTCTAATAATAGAATAATGAAAACAACAAGAAAAAAATAATAGTGCCACTGTTTGACTGTTTAAATGTCATTCTATACCTTCACTAAAGAAAAGAAAAAAGGTTCACGTTTATTAGGGGTTGTTTTGCTAGTTTGGATGGATTTGTTTGGAGTCCTATACATATATAAAAGCAGTCTCACTGTTGATACTTCCTTTGTATTCTCAAAAATGAATAAGCAAATCTCTGGTGCAATTTTGAACCAATACATGCCTGCATTGGATTAATATGGACTCTCTAACTTTAGCAATCTTCATGAAAAGGAAAAAAAGCGACAAATAGAAACCAACAGGAGAACTTCATATAGAAGGTTACAGCGATACAAATTAAAAGTCCGATACGCATGAAACTCAATGTACTATTGGATACACATTCCCTTAGATGGAGGCACTATTTCTTAGAAATCATAAAAAAATGAACCTGTATAGCTAGATCTAGCATGGTATTTCAGTTCATTGCTTCATAAAAGTTTATAGAGGCTTCGATCAGAAATCCAGCTGATACACCATTATGGCCTACACCTAGTCTTCTGTTATAGCTAAGTGTAATGGTGAAGCTACAATTGCTTGAACTAAAGACAAGTCAGGCGGTGGAAAGAATAGACATATTTGTTTGAAACACAATCATTTGAGGCAAATTCTTTCCAGTGACCTTTTATCCTATAATTTGTTTTAAACCGAAAGAAATCTAGCAGATCAATTAACCCAATTCACTAACTAAAAAGGTTAGTCTTTGACATGTTGAGGAATTCTGGATTAAAGCCTACTGGCTATTATAGACAATCTGTGATGGAAAGGAAACTGACGCAAGTGAAGATCTTAAACTAGGTCAAATCGTAAAACAATGCAAGGAGTCTGTTAGCAGTGATTTTCTTTACCCCTCCATGGGGTGTATAGTGTCAATCACCTACAGTGAGAGGATGAGTTATTTGCACCTTCTAACGGTGTCGTGTCTATATTTGGATATTATCAAGCAAACTAACCTAATCACACTATCCACATTATAGGCACAAGGGGTGCAAATTAAGGTTAAAATAAGAGCAAGAAGACAATAAAAAATCCAACTGAGCACCTGGGACCCCATGATGTGGAATGGTTTTACCACATATTATCATGGTGGAGCAATGTGGAGCCTACGTAACATCTGGGTGATGGCACACAGTTCACTCGATAGATCAGCTTTATCAGGTAACAACTGAGAATACCCTAACCTCTTACATTAAATGAACAAATGAGCTGAGCTCTAAAAGGGTCAAAAGGGAATAGAATGGATTTAAAAAACCAAAAGTGGAACGAATTCAATGTAACCTGTGCTTAAGCCTTGAGAAGAGATGATCAGCATGCAAAAGGTCGTACGATCTTGGATAAGTACCAAAAGACTCGCACCAGTCGTGATAGATGCCAACAAGTCCACGTTCAAAGATTATAGGAAGTGTGTCTGGTGCATGTACAGGGACCACATTCATAACCCAAACGTTCTGTTGTGAGAGGGCAGCTGCGAATCTGTATTTGTAACATTAATTATTTATGCTGTTTGGTTTGTATGAATTAAATCACTTCCAGTACAAAAGAAGTTGTGGATAAAAAAACAGCAGAGTTATCATTATAGCATAAAAGAAAGAAATTAACTCAACTTTCGAAAAAAGATAAAATCTAATTTAGCATTTTTGCTATGCATACCCTCCATTGATGGCTTTCATGTCCATTATATTCCGAACATTTGACCACTCAACACCCATCCCGGTGAGGTAGGACTTGTTAAAAATAGCTTTCCAGTGTTCAGTGTCAGCAATCAGTTTCTCTCTATTGTTCATCCAGTCGGGAAAAGTTTCAAGCCTCTTGGGCCATTCCTCAGGCCACTCAGTCCCACGTTGTTCTATGGCAGAAGGAATTGTGTGCAAGCAAGTTTTCATTGGAGTGTACCTGTTCAAGATAAAATGTTACAATCAACAAGGAAATTGAAATAGAAACAAAATAGATGAGAATGTTTCCATGTAGCGCCTTTGATGTAGTTGATAAAAAACTAAGGAAAAAGCATTTCTAAAGAAGAGAGAATAATGGAAACACTATGAACATTGAATGGTTGAGTTTCAGTTGTAGCATGGTACTACTTTATCTTTCGGTTGGCATGCTGATGGTCAGTATACGTAATTTTCAGATTTACTGGACATATGATGTAGTTGTGAACCATGGGTGATGTTTAGGTCAAATTATGATATTGAATCGTATTTGTGGACTTGAGTGGCTGTTTATTGTTTATATTGGTCGAAGTTCTAGCATCTCAATATTGAGTCCAATTTTTTTAGAGTTAGAATCCCCAGACGTCTATATATAGTTATACTTTCAAGTCAATGCTGATCATAGAACAAAGATGGGCATCCCCTTGAGAGCAAACAGCAAAAAAGAACGAGGGCAACATCCATTATATTTCTTCACGGCCAAAGTTGTTGTATCCTTTGTGCTATTAGTCCCTAATCAACCCTAATTGTTTCCCTATACTAGAAGCTTTTTCTTTCTTTCCCTTTTCCTTATTTTTCTTTTTTTCCTGTAAGAATACTAGAAGTATTTTCTTTAAGATCTAAACAAATGCTGACCAGAGGTCCAGAATCTCCACCAGCGTTTTTTCTTAATTGCCTGTGACCTAACATTCTCAAAATCTAACCAATCTCAGCCCCTTTTCATTCATAAGGCCTACAATCCTTCTTCCAGCTATTAGAACTCTTGAGTCTACAAGCTTTTCTTCACCCAAAGCCCACCAAATCACCTATAAAGGAGTTGGCATACATCAATTTTGCTATTATAGCAAGTAGATTGTTCTCTACATCTGTCCTACATCACCAACACTTTACATTGCGATGGAATGTTCTGGTGCAATACTGTCATGCTATTCTGTCATATATATATGTTTGATATGGACTTAGTGATTATTAAGTGCAAAATATAACGCCATTCTTCTTATGCCATGAATTATATGCGGAAAATCTACCATGCTCACCAATTTAATAGCAAGATTACCTGTAGAGAAAATGTAATTATGGGTAGTAGTATACAAAAATTGTTTGGTTTCTTTGTGGGTATTCAGCATCTTGCCCAATCTAGTAGCCCCAGTTCATCTCGACTCAACAAAACCTTTTTCCAACTACTTAAGATCGGTTAGATGAATCATATTTTCCCATTCTTCTCTAAGGTCATAGTCATAGTCAAACCACATGTTAGTACATATTTCCTAACTAACTCTACCTAGGTTAATTTTGGTCTTTCCCTTTCCCTAGCATTACCCTCAATGTGGACCATGTCACCTTTTCTAATTAGTCCATTTAGCGGTCTTCTTCACACATATCCAAATCATCTTAATCCATCTTCTGCCACTTTATCTTCAACGTGTGCCACTTCAATCATCTCAAATGTGTTACTTTCTAAATCTATCATTTCTTGTCTTTTCACACATCTATCTTAACACTCACATTTCCCCACGCGCACTTTATGAATATGTTTTTAGTTGTCCAACATTCTATCCATAAAAAATGGCTCATCTAATAGATGTTTCATATAAATTCCCTTTCAATTTTAGGGTATACGCTAATCACACAATATTTCAAATGCACTACTCCATTTAACCCATAATGTTTTGATTCTATGATTAACATTATCTCTAGTTTCTCTTTCACTGCGGATAATTTAACCTAAACAATGAACATTAATTCAACCTAAATAGTGAAAATGTTCACTTTTTGGTATGTCTTAATCCTCAATCTTCACTACACCCCGTTTGTATTTCTAGATTACTAAAATTACACTTCATATATTCAATTTTATTCCTACTTATCTTAAATCATTTTAATTCTAAAGCTTCCCTCCAAGCCTCCAATTTAGCAATTACCCCCTCTAGTTTCATCAATTACAGCAATATCATCATCAAATAATATACACCATTGAATCTCATTGTGAATGTGTCTCATAAATTCATCAATAACTAAAGCAAAAAGATATGGAGTTGTTGATCCTCGATGTCAACCTGCAACAATTGGAAATCACTTTTTTTCCGCACATCATTCTAACTATAGTCACGCTTCCCCATACACGTCCTTAATCTTGTCAATGTATCTCTTTTTTGACTCATTTCAAAGTCCTAGACAATCTCAGAGATGCAGACGCCCGGAAAGCATTACATTGTCTAGCTTGGAAGCTTCATTCGATCATTTTTTTTTTTTTTTTTTTTTTTAATGACGTGGGAACCCTCGCAACCACCCGCCCTTTGGATTTGTAGCTACCAAGTAAACCCCCGACTGCCGATGCCGGCCCCACATTGTAAGCAGCAAGTTAAGTCGAAAGTAATAATTCATTCGATCATTGTGTATTGTAGATCAAGCTATAAATAGAATAAACTATGTAAGTTCACATGTTTTGTTTTGTTTTTTTTTTTTTTTCGGAAATATCAATAAACTATTAGATTTTATTTTATTTTTGCACGCCATAAAAGGCACAATACCATCATCACCTCCTACTCCAATGTTCACCAAACATATTGTTTCTTTAAACAGCCAAAACCAAGCATGTGCACCACCTTAATGTAGGCCAATACCAAGGCATATGCCATTTTTTATCACACAACAAAGTCAAATATTACAAACGAAAAATCAAATGAATGTTGGGAGTATTGAATATCAATGATTAATTATATAGAAGAGAAAAAATATGTTCCACAAAGTTAGCACATCACACTTTACCAGGCAGCATCTGGATTCTCATTTTCCTTGCATAGAGGAGGGTTTTTCTTTCTTCTCAACTCGTATATATCATTTGATTCTGGTTTCTGATATATTTTGACACCTACTTCACTGACTTCATCAGTTTTATGAGCCAGGATATTCCAACATATAGATGCTGTCACTGTGGACATAGCTGGAAAACAGAAACAAGCATCATTCATACAACAAAATTAAGACCACTCCACGAAGAAGTAATATCTTTCACAGATGATAAAGAAATACAAGTATACAAAGTGCTTTTTGTCCACACTTCCCTTCTGCATATACACTAAGATGGAACCATGCAGTTGGTAGAAAAACAGCATTTCAGGGAACAAGAGTATCTGTTTTGCCAAGATCTACTAAAATAATGAACATGCCTTATGGCATGTAGCAAACAAGTAGGCCCTAAGGTATTATAAGCAAATATTTGGCCAGAAGGCATAGGTGAGTCATATACCATGAAAAAGTTTGTGAAAGGAAGTTGAAATGCAACCTTATATAAGATGCTCCTGCATTGTACTAAAATGTGTTGGAGTTAGAAATAGAGAAATGCTAGCGAAAAACTTTTAGAATCCTTGACAAAAAAAATACTTTTACAATGTAAATATTTGGATTACCAGCCTATAAATAAAACCAGGCCATACCATTGATCCACTCAAATGAGTCATGGTCTACAGAATAATCAATTAGACAATTGAGATGAGAAATTTTTTCTACATTGCCCTGAGAGGTATTGTTGTTTAAATTAAAAGAAATGTTCTATAACAAAAGCAGACATGATAAATATATACATCCTTTCTAGGGGAAATAAATGTATTGCTTTCTAAAGAACAATGTTATTTTTTCACAAATTGCCAATTAAAGTTCTGAATACATTTTGAGGCCACACCTTCTTCATCTTCAATGGTGTCACGTTCAGTTGACAAAATAAAGTACCCACCAGGCCTCAAAATCCTATTCATCTCGAGAAGAAGCTTAGCCCCTGCAAGTTAAGGAAAATAATATTTTCCTAATATTGACGGTAATGAACGAAGCATAATTTATTATAACAGGAAAAAAATGTGATTAAGGAAGAAAAACAATAAAACACAAACCATCAGAATGCCAGTGAATACGGCATTCACCACAATGAATTGCATCAAAAACACCACTAGGGAAAGGAAGTCTCCTAGTTCCAAACGGGCTGACTGCTACAGGAAATCCACGCTCAAGGGCAACCTGTGCTAAGTCCACTAGGTCATCCTTCAAGCCTAGTGTAAGTGTCAATACATTCTTATCATGTAGAGAAGCTCCAAAACTTGAATCTGTACATCCAATATCCAGTACTATGCGAATATTCTTTCCCCATTCAATGTCCGGTACCATCTACCAAATCCAACCAAATTTTCAAAAACTTCAAATATGCTTGAGTATAGTAAATTAACTGCTAAAACAAAATTAGCATCAGTAGACACCTTTGATATTAATAATTATAGCAGCAACTATTAACTTGCAGTAATCAGCAAGCAAATAAAAGTGTGATGTTTATTCACCAAAAAAATATACAAGAAAATATAAGTGTAATGTTCTTTAAATATAACTAAATGATTTAAATGCAGCAAGATATTTCAAAATAAACAAAATTGAACATGCACACTCTTAGCTCAGCACATTGCTTGAAATTGTCTTGGCTTATGTATTCATTATATAATCAAGTATTTGAGCTCCATGCTAGTTGGGCAACTTATTTTGTTTCATTTCTTTCCTGTGTAGGGAAACAAGAGGCAGTAACTAATAAGTAGCCAGACTACATTATTCAAATTAAAACAATTAAAATTTCACTGACAACCAAGACATAACTGTAATTATTTTCTTCAAGCAAAATGTCGGTTTGATTTTATGTTTATTTTTAGAACTCGTTCAAGTCTCTTTAAAATTAGAAATTCAAAGGCATTAAGCAGCAAAAATATTGTAGATCATTTGAGAATTAAAAAAATTCACCTCTTCAATGTAATCAAGATAATGCAGAATTCCACCCTTGAATTCAGACTGGTTCTGGGGAAAAGTGAGATATTCTCCAGACTCCACCACCCAACTGTGCATCTTGATGAATGCAGCAAGTTTTGGATGTGCCACATTCTTATACAGTATCTGCAAAACTTGTAACATTAACATAAGAGAGAGTCAAATAGTCCATATATATTCTTCATCTGATCCTTTAAACTGAAAACATATCAAACACCATAATATACCTTCAATTTGCTTTCGGGCCAGCTAACTGGAGTCGAGTATCCCTCGTGGGGAAGAGGAACAAGGCACATTGGAGCAGTTCGAGGGCAACTCCTCTCATGATGCCTATAACTCTGCAGTTTGGCACTTTCAATGTCAATACAAGGGATGTAATTATGCTTGCTTTTTGTGCTACATAATCTCCAAGTATAACGTGCTTTCGGATCGAACAAAGGACCCACTTTCTTTCTCTTCTTCCCACTGCTTTTCAACCCACCACTCTCATCTTCCACATTCTCCATGATTTCCTGATCCCCATCTGCAGCAGTAATCAAATCACCATCCACTTCCACTTCCTCATTCTCTTTGCCTTCACTCTCCACCAATTCCCCTTCCTTATCATCTGCTTCTCCTTCTTCATTCTCTTCATCTTTCTTCACCTCCTTACCTTCAGATCCTTCTGACCCATGATTCCTATCATCAACCTCTTTGGGTAACTTCCCATCTTTTCTCTCATTACCCATTTCTTTCTCAGCCTCCTGTTCATTAACAGACACAAAAGGCACAGACCCATTAACCTTTTCCTCTTCCTTTTTCAAATCAGATTCGAATTTCTTTACTTTCTTGTCTCCTGTATCAACCTTATGATTCTTAGAACCACCCACTTTCCCATTAGACGATACAGGTTTTGGGATATCGTTAAATGTACTTCTTTGAGAGGTCACAGAAGAAGAAGGAGATGAAAATACAGACCAAATGAAAATAAAACACAGACCCAAGATGGCCACTGCTGTCATCCTCAAGCAGAACCCATATGAGCGTTTTGCTTGGCGACCGAACCGAGCTATAGCCATCAATCTGTGTCTCTAAACCCAGTAGTTTTTGTCTCTTAAACAAAATTTAAAAAACAACATCAAACAAGAAAATCTATGCGAAAATCAGAAACTCAACAAAAAAAATGCTAATGATCATAACAAATCTACGAATTAGAGTATTGAAATAGTGGGAAGATAGTGAAATTTGAAACTGTGCATCAGAAGTAAAAGGAGATATAGATCCATACAAGGGTTTTCAAGCTGAAGTAAGAAGTTGGAGCACAAATTTGGAGTAGCCATCATCAATAATCATCTGAATCAACACAAGGAGGTTCGATTAACGAATTTGCCCTCGGAAATTCGAGGAAAGTCTGTGTACCCATGTTCAGAGAGTTGATGAACTGGAGCTTCAGCTGAGGTTTATTTGGTAAAATTATAATCGGCATCCACCAACTTCAGCTTTTTAAAAAACCATTACGATCATATTTACCAAAAACAAAAAGTTGCAGGTATTTATGTGTAGTTTATACTAGTTATTTGTGCTTTTATAGGACTAATAACAAGGAAGAAATCTTAAAAAAAAAAAAAAAAAAAAAAAAAAAAAGAATACAAACCGAGAGAAAATAATTAATATTATTTTCCCTTCTTTTATGGGGTGGGTGAAAAGGCTCAGAAAATATAAAAATTTATATTAACAAATTTGTATCCTTTGTTTCACATGGTTGACAAACAGTTGAGATTTGTTAAATAAAAAATGGAAAAGAAAGAAAGAAATTGAAATTTGAAGGGATTAATTAATAGTAAATGTTTTTGGTTAAGATTTTATACTTATGTTATCTTACAAGTAAATGTGGTTGGTTTATCTTTACCTCGTAGTCAATGGCAAGGGAAATGATAGAGAAAGAGAGAAAGAACATCCACAATTATTCGGGTCTATGTAATTTGTCTAGGAGGTTTTTCTCGTTATTACGTGTTATTATTATTATTATTATTTATTTTTATCTTTTTTATGAATTTGGTAATAGTGTGGAGTGTGAATTTTTATTTTATCAAGACTAATGGGTTGAACACTGAACAGTGAGATCCAGATTTTGTTAGGCCCATCATGTTTTGCAAGGGGTTAGGTTTCTGAACCGGGCCCATCAGATTTTTTACCCCTAGCCCATCAGATCTCTTCATTCTGTCAATTTTGATACACTTAAACATTAAATTCTCTCAACATCAAGACACATGCAAGGACCTATTCCCTCCCTGTCCAGACAGTCACATCTTTTGGCATTCGATTTCATTGGGTTGGTTAACTTGACTGGAATGAAGGATATACTCCTATCCGATAAGAAGGAATTTTCTTCTACAAGTTGACGTGGACTAATAAAAATAAAACATATGTCTAAAAATTAAAAACAAGTATAATTGGATCAATCCCATCTTTTCAGGTTGAAGAAACAGATAACCGGGTATTGTCTCTCTCATTCGTGTTTCTCTCTTTCTCCTCCCTATCTCGCCCTTCTGCAATGGGATCAATGTCTCTGTCATCCCTTCTCTATTTCTGATTTGCAAAACTCTGTCGCTTTGCCACCAGATCAAGCTTCTCTCATCTATAGCAAATCTCTGTACTGTTTAATTGTGGGGTGTGGCGGGTTATGCTATTTTAAGCTGGTTCGACTTTTAAATTATTAAGTAATGAATATTAATATATAAATCGACACTTGCAACAAAGTAACAATAGTTTTAAAAATATTAAATATATAAAAAAAATTTAAGGTATATATAATCTGGGTGGGACAATTTATCACTAAATTTGCCTCTGCCCCAATCGCCACACGGGTTTTTTATTATTTTACCATTTTTACTCCAAACCATTTAGGGGACTGCCAAATTTGCCGAGGAATTATCAACCCTACTCTTTACAACCAGATCGTGCTTCTCTCATTTGTAGCAAATATCTGTACAAACCTCTTCCGAAAGCCTAATCCCCATTGAATCGCCGCTACTCCCAACCCTTCACAAACACTACCGCTGCTCCCCACCGCCCCGCATTCTTCTTATTTTATTGCCTGTCGTCTAATTTTTTTTGTACTTTATATTACAAATGCACACAAATATATATTTCTATAAGAATATCAAATTTGTATGAAGTGTTGTTGGAGATCGATTAGGGAGAGGAAAGAGGGCCGATGAGTTTAAAAGTGGAATTTTTCTGGGTATTAATTTGAGCCCGTTAATCCGTTAAAAGTTGGTTGATCCAATTTTTTAGTATTAGTTTTAAATTATTTAAAGTGTTAAAATTTTGTTGGTCCCACATCAGCTAGGAGAAGTAAATTCCTTCTTAAGGTAGGAGGCAAGTATTGTCTTAAAAAAAAAGAAAAAAATACACTTTATTAATCGAATTTTTCCATGACCTACTTTCTATGGTAACAAAGGGTTCAAGAATCAATTTTCTTTTTACTTATTTTGACTTGATTTTTTAAATAGTATAAAACGAACTGCTTCCAATCATGGCTATTTTGACCCGTACTTGGTTACTTCATTTTTTAAAAAAAATAAAAAATGTAAGAGTAGTTTTTGTGATTTCCAGTAAATGATGTGGATTAATTTGCTTCTCATTCTTGGTCACTTCCCAATTTGCCAGCACGATTTCCGCAGAAATTGGGAAGATAAGGATAGCCATATTCGATCAAAAACAAAGGAGTACCTGGTGAAGGACGACCATCAAAAGGACCTACAACAATGTATAACTGGACAAGGTGGGAACAACCCACCTCTGATAATAAAAGGTCATTTCTGGTGGGGTCATTCTTACTTTTTTTGCTCTTAAAAGGGACAGCTCATGAGTTCGTGGTAGTCGTGGACTCTCCTCCTTTAAGACATTGAAGCTTGGATACGATTGTGGAGTTCTCTCAGACGTTGGTTTTGTGTGTGGCTCTCTTTTCTTATCCCTACCTGTGTCCATCCTTTCTACTATATATTCAATGCATTATCTCTTCACTTCTTTCCTTCTTACTATTACTCTTTCAAATTCTAATTCAGGTAGATCATGTCTGATCAACCAAATGGCCTGCCAGAGGACCGGACGTGGCCGGAGCTGAACTTACCGGAGTTGCTAGTGACTGGCACCGTCCGGGAATTCCATGCTGCCATTGAGAAAGAGTGGGACTCTCTTCGGAGGTCAGCGTGCCAGACTGCAGCCGGAAGAGCCCTCTGGAAGCATGTGACTCATGACTCACTCGCGGAGCTACTAGCAGGGGAGACATACCTGACAAGCCTTTACGATAAGATCAAGAAAGACCGGCTCAGCAATGCCAGAGAAATCTCCGGGGTCATCCTTGCCATTCGAACCCTCTGGTTTGATTCCAAACTCGAAGCTGCTATCAATTCCTTTGGCGGTGGAGCTTCGCAAGTTGTTCTTCTTGGCGCAGGTTGGTAACTGCAAAAACTGTCATATGTCTTGCACTTTTTGCACCTACCATAATAATGAATACTATCATAGATTGAACTAACAGAGGGATGTGAAAATACGCAAATTTCATGCACATGTTTGGTCCTTTTTTGCAGTTCCTCCAAATTTGCATACTCATACCTAAATTGTGGTTCTGACATAAGGAACCTGTCTTCTTTACTGCCCAATAAAGCCATTACATTACAGGACATTTAATAATTTACAATTGATCTCAAGTTGCAAATGATATAGATCCATACAGGGTATAAAATACCATGCTGTCATTTATCCAATTAAAAAATATCATGCATGTCACGAAGGTTCCCCTGTTTTGTAGTGATGTCATCCCTAGATAGACTTGCCACACAATGTATTTCTCATTTATTGAACTGAAACAAGAAGGATGCAGAATAATCCTTAATTATAATTGTTGATGCATGAAAAATAAAGTAGAAAATCAAATGGTTGAATCATGTCCACAGCCTGCATTCAAAACTTACAGAAGATTTATGTTCTTAAAACAAATTTTGGTTGCATTTAGTATTTGAAAATATCTAGAGTAAATTACAAATGCAGAGAAAATTTGTGCCAAATGTATTTGTTTTATGCGTAGGAATGGATGCAAGGGCTTACCGCTTAAGCTGCTTGAAAGAAAGCCACATTTTTGAGGTTGATTTTCCAGAGGTCTTGCAAATGAAAACCACAATTCTTCAGGCAGCATCAGAATCAACAAATCAACACCAGCGTCAAGGGATGACAGCAAAATCCCTTAGCAGAGTGGCGGCTGATATCAGAAGCAATGACTGGCTTGAAAAGCTTCAGATATCGGGGTTTGACCCAGAGAAGAATACGGTGTGGGTTCTTGAAGGTATCCTCTACTACCTCTCCCAATCCCATGCCATGGAAGTATTGAACATTATAGCCAACTATTGCACTCTTACCCACACAGTCCTCTTAGCAGATTTTATGAACAAGCCATCCACCACACTCTCCAGTTCCGTCTTCCACTTCTATAGCGATTGGCCCGATCATCTCCTACCATCTTTAGGGTTTTCTGATGTTCAACTTTCACAAATCGGTGATCCAGATGCCCATTTTGGGCTCTTGCATGATCCATTAAATCTGTTTGACAAGCTGCGTAGCTTGCCCAGATCGATTCAGACCCACCCAGATGATGGAACACCATGCTGTCGCTTGTATTTGGTGCAGGCTTCTGGTTCACCCAATCAAACTATTCCTTAGAGAGCCAGCTACCCATAAATTCTAGATACTATACATGTCAACTCCCAAGTATAGTGCAGGTGTAGGGATCATATATTTTTTGGTGTTGCCTTAATAATACAAATTGCATTTGGATGACAACATCACAACATACTCTCTAAGCTATTTGATGATTGTCTAAGCAAGTCAAATTATTTATACTAAGATATATTTCGAGTTCTTGTCCCAGTCTTTGGTAGCAAAATTGTCTACGAGGAAAACTTTTTACATTTCCTTTGTTCCATTTACAATTTTTATTTTTTGTACAATATGCAACAAAGAAATAATGCTTCAAAATATGGGTAAGGGGCATTATAAGATATGGTCAAAAGTGGTGAAGGACTCCCATGCTACTCTGGAAGCATGGGTAAACAACCCTGTTCAATATAGTACACTTAGACTAACAACTTATATATAGAAACATGAACATGTTAAAAGATGTTGCTGGTGGACACTATGATTAAAAAGGATGATTAATATAGTATGTTTACATGTCTAAAACCAGACAAGTGTAACTAATAGGAATTCATGACTTCTTTTTGATGCCATTCAACTTGGGTGGGGTTATAGGAAAATCAAACATGTAGAAGACACATAATTTGACAAAAGGATTGAGATACATGATGTACATGTGAAACAGGGACCCTCTTCAAGGCAATCCTTGATAGGCTGCTCGAATTTGTAACGAAAGATACTGTACTTGTAAGCACTTATACCATCTTCTGCCTGCAGCAAAGGAGACAAACAAACTAGATGATCGGAAAGAGTAGCAAATGAATATTTGACAGGCTAACTTCTGTTGACAAGAAATCATATCAACAGAATTGAACTTCACAATCCAAACTAAAAATTCTGTTATAGTGTGACATTAGTGTTGAAATGTTGCTCATCAACAACAAACTAAGACCATATCAAAATGGTAACTGCAGAGAGTACAAAGTGTCAGCTATGACCTAGGCGTCTTCAAGTATAACTAAACTCACAACTTACTGGCACCATTGTTACCAGTGCAAACATGTTCTGGATGAATGTGCATTAATAAAACGCGTCCAAATTTGCTTTTAATTTGGAAAATGATTATATTCCCGAAATTTACAACCGAACGGCTCCCCGTGCAAGTGGGAGCCATGTTTGGGTCCCACATGCACAATAAAATGAGTGTAACTTTCGTTTTCCATACCAGTGCTCCTTCAATTTATGGCAAACACAGAAAGATCATAAAATGGCACCAGTGGCATAGTACGTTCAATAGGTAATGAATTTTAGTCTCCAAAACATTCCACCCTCCTGCGATAGATGCTGCTAAATAGATTGAGCCTTGAGCCCATCAAAATTAGTTCTTAAATCAAGTAGCTATCTTTTTTCACAAGAATTGCACCTCTTGGGCTCTCCTATATTACTAGTAATAATTTGACAGTAATGCTGGGGGAAGTAAAAGACCAAAACTAATATAAGTTGAAACGATATGAAAGAATATGGTTCGACTGCAATTATGGCCTTAGAGAGAGTGAAATGACAAAACATGATTTATATAGCCAACGCCAAATAGTTGGACAAAGGCATGATTGAGTTAAGTTGATTATGTTACTGATGATGGTGATGATGGTGATGATGATGATGATGATGGTAAAGATGGCTGGGATGATGGATTAAACAGTGACGACAAGTTTCAGCCCATGTTTGATGTATGAAGCACAGGCTTCACTGACTTTGGAAGTTGGCATCTTCTAAGACAATCACATTCAGATTAGTAGCCGGACTATAAAGTGGCATGGAGAAAAAATTCCACTCTCAAACAAGGCTAATCGTATGCTTTCAAAAAGATCTAAAAATTACTCAAACACAGTATATGATTTTTATAGAAATATATAGTTAAAATACCTACTAGAAGGGAGTCAAATATCAGTTTTATTTTTGTCATTTCATTGAGAGAGGTCGAAAATTTGCAGTTAGTCGGCGGGGGGAGGGGAGCACTGACTTTGTATAAGAATAAGCAAGAAGTACCAAATATAGGGGAAAACATTAAATCTTGTGGATTACTTTGAAGCATAGAACCTAATATCATTTAAATGGAAATAATTCTTCTTTCATTGTTTATCTTGACTTGAGCCATCAGAATTTCGTTTGATTAAAAAAATTGAAAACTGCATAAATGTTTTTGAAATTCAACTTGACTATGACCAATCTACCGAATTATACACTATCAAGTGCATATGCCGGCCTAATTCTGGGAAAGATCAGCTCATCTCAACAATGCCTTCCTCTCACTAATGAATATAAGAGAATATGCCATATACCAGACATATACTTGAGTATGACTTAGCAAGCAATAATAATTTTCTTATTAAAAAGAATTGAGAAAAGATAAAAGCCCCATAGTAATCACGGTGTCAGTTTGACATGACTAAATATCAGAGTAATATGGCGAACGAATATCATATGAGAAGAATCACAAGGATAGCTTATGAGATCACTAATATTAGCTTCAGCTTCCAACTTATAAGATTTGTATCAACATGCAACGAAACATGTAAAACTGAGAATTGCATGAATTAAGAATACAAGCATTCATTTGCCTTTTAATTTCTCAATTCATTTATGTTCCACTAATTAGCCTTTGTAGTTGGATGTGCTCATAATTCATATTGCTCACAACCTTCTTCATCCTTATTATACAGTCAAAGAAAACCAAGTAAAAAAAATGCCCTTTATAACAATCACTCCATACTTATCAATTTTTATTTTATTTTTCATTTTTTATGCAATTTTCTACTTTTCTCATGGCAATTTTTTTCAACAAAGGAACAATCTATAAAATTCTCTCACACAAAAGCAAAACAAATCAATACAAAACAACCACAAAACCCCAGAGGTCCTCAGCTAAATTTGCATCATGACTAAGGAGATATGTTATTGAATGCTTAACAATAAATAATCCCAAATACAACATTTATATAAAGAGCTCAAAATGATAGCTTTCACATTCATTGATAACCAAGAAAAATGACAAAATAAAATAAAATAAGGAGTGTGTAATCTGGGAGAGAATGAAACCTCCAGTCCGGTGCTAGCTTGAAATGCAATCAGTGAAATCCTTTCTTACAATAATCACTGAGCAGCCTCTGAAGTTCATCCGAGCCCTTCACCGCAAAAGTAGGCTTGTTATTCGCTGCCAAATTAATCAGATTAAGCAATTGAAAATACATACATACATACATATATATATATATATATAGAAAGAGAGGTTGTGGATACTTGGTAAGAGATAGGCTGTTGTTGTCAATGGGAGCCAAGAGGAGGTTGGTTTTCTCTCAGAGAATGGGGGGTAATCGACAATAAAAAGTATGCGGTGTTGAAAGGAGATTTGGCGGAACTAGAACTAGAAGATGAGGGAGAGTAAAAAAAAAAAAAAAAAGGGGGTAATAAAATTTGGAGATGCGGGGGATCGAACCCCGTGCCTCTCGCATGCAAAGCGAGCGCTCTACCATTTGAGCTACATCCCCAATTGAAGTGTGGAGGCCCAACATATTATTTATACTTGAAAACAGAGGCTTGCAATCGCACAAATAAAGAAAGTAGAAAAATTTTCGCTACCGCCGAAACTTCCGTCTATTGCACCGTCAAAATAAAGGGTTTAATCGACGGCCTATCTGCTCAAGGACTTAACTTTACTGTTCATTTGTGCTCTGTCTTCGTTTAATCGATTACTTCCCAGAAAGATGGAAGCCAACAATTCTCCATTCAAGGTATGAATTTACATTGTTAAACATGTAAAAAAAATTTATTTTTCTTGCATTCTTTCCCAAGAACCAAACGCAGCGAAGAAAATTTTATAATGCCTTGAAGTAGTAATATCTTTGTTTATGGATTATGACTTTTCCTGCACCGTTCTTGTAATTTTTGTCTTGATGTGCTTTAGTTACCCCAAGATAGGTCGATGATTGTGTGAATCCTCCAGTTTGATTTAAATTGTTATTTTGATTTTGGGGACCGTTTGGTTCAAGTTTTTGAAGATATTCAAATGATTGGTAGTTCATTGGCATGTTTTTATAGTTGTCGTCTTGGCCAACAACTGAACTAAGGTATTTGTCTGGTAATTGGGAATTGCTTAGATGATTTGGTTTCTTTCTTACCATGAAACTTTCCAGAAGTTGAATCTCAGATGTGGTTGAAGTATAAGGGTGTATTTTGACTCATCTTTGGTGGAAAATTGACTTCTGATGGCCACTAGAGTGTTCTTTCGGTATCCCATTTTAGTTCCTCGGAAGTTGATACTGAAAATGTTGTATTATGTTGATGGATAATTTTATTTTCCAGCCTCCAATACAATTATAATTTGTTTGTAACAATTTGTTAGATGTACCCTTTTGAGGATTCACTTCAATACTCAATTCTTTCTGTATCTTGTTTGCAATTATATATTTATGTAAGCATAGTGTTATGATGCAGATAATCTTGGGATCATCTTCAGTGGCACGTCGGAAAATTTTAGCTGAGATGGGATATGAATTCACACTCATGGTATATCATAGTCAAATTTCTACTATATTTATTTTAGATTTCGAGAGGTTAAACCCTTCTTATAATTTAGACAGCAGACATAGATGAGAAAAGTATCCGGACGGAGAAACCAGAAGAGTTGGTTATGGCTATTGCAGAGGCAAAGGTAGTTTCTTATTTTAAAATTTCTGAAATCAATTATTTGAATGATGTTAAAATTAAAAATTGTATATCCTAGGTCTTGTGTTTGGCCTCTAACCTAGAAATGCAGTATATTAATGTAAAGCCCCTATTATGATTTACGACACATCATTACTACCTTGCCTTTTTATGTTAATGATAGATTTTTAGTGCCTAACCTAGTATATCTTGTTGTGACTGCGTCCTAGGGGTTTAAAATTGTATTTTATGTTGCATCAAATTTTCTCCTCTCATCTCTATGTTTTCTTCTGGTCTGTCTGTCCATCTTTTTTTATATATGTATTTAAGATGTCATGGTTTTTAGTTTTTAATTTTTTCTGTTGTTTGGTTTTAAATTTTATTGCATCTCAGGCTGATGCCATCATATCAAAGCTTCATGCTACTGATAGGCAAGAGAAGGATGTCAAACCAACACTTTTAGTTGCAGCTGACACAGTATGTGTTATTTCCTTTTGTTGTTGCTTTCTATATATTCAGTTGGGCTGATCAAGTCTGCTATCACCTAGTGCCATCTATGAAATGAGGATATAATGCATTTTGAAGGAGGTGAAAGTATCTTTGCATTTCCAGCACCTGAGGTCCTTTTGAGTCATGGTAGCTTGAATAAAATAGCACTTCACTTTAAGTTACTTATTTGAGCATGGCTTAAATATTACATTTTGTGGGATTGTTAGTAGAGCATACCAAGGGGTCAGTTTTTTTTTTTTTTTTTATGAACTTTCCTATTGTCTTGATTTGGGCACCTGAGGATGAATTTATAGTTTTTCTATTTTCAGAAAGTATTTCATGGATTTATGTAAATGTTATAATTAAAATTAGTTTTCTGCTTAATCTGTGAATACTGGAACTTTTAGGCTGTGAAGCTTATGTAAATTTTGACCAACAAATGTATTATAATAGAGGCAATCATATGCTGGTTTATTTAGTGAAATATAGGAATTTGATGATCTCTTTCAGGGGAAATTAAATTTATATTTATTGGTTTCTGTCCTTTGGAATTTAACTTTTTGGGAAATGTAAATGCATGTTGCGATAACTAGGAAAAAAAAAATGCATGTTGTGATTATTTCACAGGTAACCTAAAGCACAGTTGACAGTTTATGCCCACCTGCATCTATATGTAATGGTTTCATTATAATTTATTTTGGCTGGTGGCCTTTCCCTAAAGCCACAAATCTACCTTGTATCATGATTCTGTGATATTCAATTGTTGCAGGCATAAAATTATTATCATATTTTTAGCTGTCTTTGCATTTCTTTATGCTCTCTGGGCTACTTTACATAGTTCCATATTATTACTTTTACTAGGCACTTGCCTTACTTGATGGACCTTTTTGTCAGGCAGAAGCCATCATTCCAAAGTTCCCCACCGGTGATTACAGGAAGGATGCTGAGCCAACTGTCTTAATTACCTGTGACCAAGTATAAAACGATTTCTTTGTCATCATTTTTCTAGGTTACTCATCATATCTTTGGCTCATGTCTTGCATTTTCAAGTTTGGAGTAAACTTCAAGTCATGTTGCTGTTAAAATGTGGCAAATTCCTCATTTTACCTCAAGAAACCAAATCTATGGCGTATATTACTATCTCATGGGGAGTGACAGTGGTTTTTTGGTAGTATGCATTTCTAAGCTTGATTTGCGATTTAATTGTTTGGTTATCTGAGATGAACATAGTTGCTTATAAAAATTGGAATTCAGTGATGCAATTATGGGAAGATTCAATGTACCAAGGACCTGTTGTTGAAGTGACATGGGAAGTACAATGAAAAACTTCAGTTCCAAGGGGTGTTTGGTTACCTGAGATGAACACATTTACTTGTAAAAATTGAAACTTAGTGATGCAATTATGGGAAGATTCATTGTACTGCAGACCTGTTATAGTGGCATGGGAAATACAATGAAAAACTTCAGTTCAAAGGGGTTGGAGTTTTAAAACACTTTTTGAGTGAGCATGAGAGCAAGGGGTTAGCATTCTTACATTTCTTGCCAGGAAAAAGGGCTTAATGTTCTACTCATAAAAAAATAGGCTTATATTCTCATATTTCATTCTTTCAAGGGAATCTTTTAAGGAAAGTGTGAAACCGTAGGGAAGCCAAAGGAAAGGGAATGAAATCCATATTGTAACAGGTGGTTCTTTTTTTTTTTTTTTTTTTTTTTTTTTTTCTCTGTTAATACAAATATGATAAAAGCAACGTTGTTATTATATCAACCGAGAGCCTGATAAGATAAATTTATACCTGCTCTAAGTTTGTTTGCATTATCTGTTTTTCTTTTCTTCTATTTGAAACTCACATTCCCACTTTGCTCCTATGGGGACTTGAACCCTCAACCTTCTACTTTGGAAGGTGGGAGCGTAACACTTAGTTACAACCCTTGGTGTTTGCATTACTATGTTTCCCTCTTCCTGTCTTAAATCCACCCGTTCTTTTGGTTTAAAGATGGGTAAATGTGAAGTTATCTACAAAATTAATTCACTATTTATTTATTTTATTATTTTTATAAAATCTTTCTGTAAAACCAGAGTAATAACCAATTTTTATTCAATTTGTGAGTTTTGCATGTTAGATGCCTTTTACCTGCCTGCTTGTGGATCTTTTTTTTTTTTTTTTTTTTTTTTTTTTCTCTCCTGAACCTGCTTGTGGATCTTAATTGAACTATGTTTGGTAGTTCTCTCTAGTTAGGGTTAAACAGATTTTCCTTATAGATTTTCCCTAGAGTTTTTTTTTTCTATGCGGTTTGCATTTGTACTTTGTATCCTCATACATAAATGGCCTACGGATGATAGGACAAGCCTGTACACATTCGGGGTGTTCCCTCTTTTTTCCTTTTATTGAGAAAGGAAATATATTTCTTATTATATCTTTACTGCTAAAATTTGTATGATTTGGAGGTGGTGGTATATGAAGATACGATCAGGGAAAAACCGTCCAACGAGGAAGAAGCACGCCAATTCATCAAAGGTTTGCTTCATATTTCTACCCCGTCCCTCACTTTAATAATTTTATGTGCCTTGTGGTCTTAGACTCCTAGCAACATGAATTCTAGGTTATTCTGGTCGGCACGCAGCAACAGTTAGTTCTGTTCTTGTTACAAACCTAAAGACAGGGATCAGAAAAGGAGGGTGTGACAAAGTGGAGGTACTATTTAATATTTATGTCTTATGTTTTCTTTATGATTGGTTTGGAAGTCTAAGTTTTAGTGAATTTTTTAATGAGTTATGTTTTGTGGATTTTAAAGGGAACATACTTGTCAAAAAAGAGATTTGAAATTATTATTTTTTATTAAATTAGGTGACATTAATGCCTGCTGAAGTTAAAAGGAATAAAATGCAATAAGTCTGTGATGCCAGTAACATTCAGGATTACAGAAACAGCCACAGAAAAAAGAAACACATTATTTTATGTGACGATGTGAAATTATAAAACATATACAAACTGACACACTCAATGAATGGTTAATTGGTTATAGATCTTTCATAAAAAAGGCTCAAGTAATACTAGCAGTATATTTTAATATTGATGAGTATTTAATACTTTAAAATGGATGGTCTCAATAAAAAATGTTTAAGCTTATCTGGATGTATTCATTCTTCATATAGTTGAAGGCTTTTGGGGTTACATTGATGTTATGGTCTATGTTTAATGTAAATGCATAGTTAGTACAGAAATTGATCCACATTTAATTGTTAAACATAATGTTACCTTGAATTACATCAAGAAAGGGAATTTTGTTTTCAAGTAATGCATGTTCTAGTTGATATTGTATATGAAATGCTATTTCGTTTGAACTGTGAATCATATATATATATATATATGTATTTTAAATTAATTAATTTTTCAACCAATCCACAAATTTGTAATATATTGAAATAACACTTGTGTTCATGACTTGCAGATTTTCTTTCATGACATACCGGATCATATAGTTGATAACCTGGTAAAAGTTTTTATCATTGCAATGGGTAGTTTCTTCTTGTATCATATGCTGACCGACTTATTAATAGTCTAATTTGGTGGTTCTTTCTTTGTTCAGATTGAGGAGGGGATGGTGCTGAATGTTGCTGGGGGGTTGATAATAGAACATCCTCTGATATTACCCTATGTTAAACAAGTGGTTAGTTTTGTAATCTATATCATCTCTTAATGGCAATGTAAAATGAGAAATCATTGTCATATGTGGCATACTAATTAGAACATACAAGGTGGGACAACCATGACTCACTATTTTGTTGATGGGGCATTTTGATCCAAAGCATTGTCTGATGAACATAGTAAACGTACTTTGCATGGCACTTGAGGACATCTGGTGCACACTAGGGTTATAGCTTTTCCCTTGGATTTGGTTTTGTTTACTACATTTCAACCGTAAGCAACTATATTTTGTTGCATCTGGAAAAAAACATTTTAATGATCAAATACAATTGAAAGAACATTTTATAATTCATGGTAGTTGGTAGTAGAATGCCAATAGGCTGGTTGTGCCCGGGTCAGATTTTATGCTCTTCCCTTTTTCAATCTCATGCAAAAATCTTGGAAACTCGAATAATTCTTAATAGATCGGGTTGAACAATCTATTGTTCACAGCATGTCTCCAGAAATTAACGTCAATAATGCTATGTGCAGGTAGGGACAACTGATAGCGTTATGGGACTTCCCAAAGCTCTTACAGAAAGACTGATAAAGGAGGCACTCTAGTTTTAACTTGGAATGATGGATGAACACCCACACTTGTGACGTATCCATGCGGTCTATTTTTACTGTCCCAATCTATACATTATAAATTATTCTACTTTTGATAAATTTATTAACAGTCGTACGGATATCATTTATTTTTCCTCTTCTTAGTTATACAATGTGTCTTTTACTTATTTTGGCAAACATGGTGGTGAAAGCCTCTTTTCATTCTAGATGATTGTGCTCTTTATCATGGAAAATTAGGGCATGGAAGTTTACTAACTGGCGCGAAATGAATTGTTTCTCCTGTGTTTGTATATCACTTTAGCCTAAATCCACTCTAGCATTGTGCTCAAAGCCCTGACCAAACAAGATTTTGATTTTGGTTTTTTTTTTTTTTCTTTTTTTAAAAAAATAAAATAAAATAAAAGAAGAGAAATCTATCATCCCAAACCCAAGGTGTCTTTTTGTTTTAGCTTTTAAGTTGTGACACAAGGGTTACATCATGTGCGGGGTTTTCTTATGAGAAATGTTTTGGATAATTTGGACACTTTTTCATCTTTCTAATTGTGGTGTAAATTTAACATAGTTACATATGAGAATCATTACCAATTTATCATTAAGGCGCGACAATCACTGTAAAAATAAAATAATTAAAAAAGGCATCAAACACAATGATAATAAGTAAAACAATTTGAAGATGGTAAAAACTAGCAAAGTCACGCAAAGTCAATGTGAGAAATGGACCGTTTAGAAGAATTGTACACAGGTACAAGATCTTTAATTCCCTTCAAGTAACATTCAACTAAATGAGAAGGAAAAACAACACAATTATTTTTTAAGCACAATATATGCAACACCATCACATCAAAAATGCAACTATTACATTGACCATAAAAATAAAAAAAATATATGTAGGTAGAAACCGGGAATGAAATCTCTCACCTTCGATCATGATGTTGAGGTTCCATCTGATTTGTTCGATCATGAATGTTGAGGTTCCATCTGATTTGTAGTTGGTTACCGAGATTGTGGCCTCTGGCTTTTTCTCCAATTTTTAAACTTTTTAAAAAATAAATAATTAACATTTTCTCACATTTTTATGTAATTAACGTATCTATTTTTTTTTTTTTTTTTTTTTTTTTTTGAAGTCCCAGATAGAAAATAATTGGATAGAATTGATTCCATCATAAATGCTTTATCGCTTTACCATCCGGATTTCCAAGCTTAGCCAGGTTAGCAAATTTACTCTCTCTAAAATTCACCCTCTTTCATAGAAGACTAGCAAAAGTGCACGTGCATAGTGATAAAAAAAATCCTTGGAAAAAAAATTACATTAATTTTTTTTAAAATTATAAAAAATAATAAGTTGAAGAATTTAAGTGTAGAAATGAAATATGATATAATGTGCTATCATATAAACCACTATATATATTTGTAGAGACATAGTAATATTGTAATACATCATAAACTGTTTTTTTTTTTTTTTTTTTTTCCTTATCTTTTAAATATTTCTTTTTTGAACTTGTACAAATAAGTTCACATCTCAAAAACCAAACAACAATTATGAATATATAAATTATTATTGGCTTGCAATCATAATTAAGTCTAAAATATAGTTGTCACAACTTGCATATTCTTCCCAAATTTTCTTCGGTAATTTATTCTTCACAAATTTTCTCATCAATTATCCTATAAAGCTCTAATACTTAATCATTTCAGTCCCCAAATTGTTGAAACCTAAAAAAAATAATAAAATAAAATTTAATTTAATACAAAAAAACACCCCACCGAAAATGCCAAAACCTTGTGTATTTTTTTTTTATTTCTTGAAAACGAATGATAGAAAGTCCATTGCATCACAACATAATCCACTTAAGGGAAAACAAGAGATTTGAGTTGTTATATTCATATTCAATATGAGAAGGATTATACTTCACCTTAAATGGAGCTTGACTTCCTAAAGGCTTATGAGAAAATTGGAAAATTAATTTATTCAGTTTTAAAAAAATTTAATATGTAACATATAACTATCGCAAATTCAATCATGAATTAAAAACGAAAACACTAATCACTTGCATGCCAATATTTCTCTATAAATAATATTTCTTCTTACTTGAAGAGTTTTAGAATTTAATATTTCTTCTTACTTCTTTTTTTTTGACAATTAATTATAATTGACTAATTTACTCCATAAATCATAGTACTTGAAAATAATTGCAAACAATAAAGTAAAAACTGGCTTAAGGTTATCCAATATTGCTGCTAAAGTTGGAGAGTCAACTTACCCAATATTGCTACCATAGTACTTGATGCCTTTACATCCAAATATTTTTCAAGAATTTCTTGCAACAAATAAAATTTTATTTTTTTCAATTTTTTATTTCAGGTAACAAAACTACTATATATAATTAAATAGAGTAATTTTATTGATAGGAACAAATTGGTTGGAAATATATATGAAAATGTGTATATTATTTAAATCATATACCCTAGAAAGCCATGGAGGAAGAATTTGCATTGGAGGGTCACTTGTTTCTGCCAAAAGAGAAAGAAGGAAAAATTTGAGATATTTTATTTTAGCACTAATATGTGAGAATGCACAAATATTATTAAATTAATAAAAAACGAATGACTTGGTAGATATATATAAGAAATTATTGGAATTGGAATATGAAAAATGGAAGAAGAATGAGGATGCCAAATTTATTATAGTAAACATTGCTACTTTGCTTGTCATTGTTATGCCCACCTCATGCACTCTCTCACCACCACTGCTATAGAAGGCAGTAATGCATAGTTTTAACAAAACTGTAATCTTATCTAAATAGATGTGTTTTATCACCTTGGTAACCCGCCAAAATAACTATTTAGATTCAGGATAACTCTCAAGACATACCTTGTGAGAATGAGCCATCGCATAATTTAAGAAATATTTGTTAAGAAACTTTGTGAACAATGAACTGTCACATAATTTAAAAATACTATTAGTAATATTTTTAAACAAAAATCGTACTTTTGTTTTTCTTTTACATTTTTTTTTTTTTAATTTGTTTGGAATAATGTGAATTAGGCTCTAGAATTTGTAGGGAGAAATTTTTTAGGAAGGAATGGTTTCCTTTTTAAATAGTGGGATTATTATAGATTTTTTTTTTTGTTTACGTTTTTTTCTTTTTCTTTTTTATTTTATGTGTGAGAGTTATTTATTTATTTATTTTTTAAATGTATGTGTTTCTTTTTCACTTTGGCTTTTTTTTTTTTTTTTTTTTTTTTTTTTCTTCTTTTTCTTTTTGTTGCGTGTATTTATTTATTTTTGTTTTAAAACAAATATGGTACTTTTTTTTTTTTTTTTGAATAATGTGAATTAGGCTTTGGAATTTTTGGAAAGGAACGGGTTTCTTTTTAAATAGTGGGAATATTATAGTTTTTTTTTTCCTCTTATTTTTTTATTTTTTTTAATTTGTGAGAGTTAAATAAGGTGATTTAATGACACATCATTAGAATTTTTATAAAGAAAAATTGGAAATTATATGAATCATAAGGGTTGTAAATGAATTGAAAATAAATTGAAAGATAACTTTGGTGCATTTGGAGAGACTCCAAATCAGATGTAATGGCAAAAAACTAAAGGATTGTAACCTTTATATCGTAACATTTAAAAAGAAATAAATTATTACACTTAATAGCAAGAAATTAAAGGGTTATAACCTTTATGGAGACAATATGAATCATTATGTAGTTAATATATATGTTAATACTTTTTAAAAATTTAAATCAAGCAAAAATGTTTGAAGTGGGGTGGGCATGCGTTTTAAAATAAAAAATGTATGTTTTTATTTTTTTATTTTTTTGCCCTTTTACATTTTTCTTTTTCTTTTTCTTTTTCATTTTGTTGCATGAATATTTTTTTTGTTTTTATTTTTAAACGAATAGGGTACTTTTTTTATTTTTTATTCTACAATTTTTTGTTTTGTTTGGAATAGTGTGAATTAGGCTTTAGAATTTTTTTAAAAAATGTATATCTTTTTTTTTTTTTTTTTTGTTGCGTGTATGTATTTATTTTTGTTTTTAAATATTTAATGAAATAATTTTGTATTTTTTAAAAATCTAAAAATATTAAGAAATTAGCTGCACTTTTAGAATAATATATATATATAGATATATAGATTTAAATTTTTTTCTCTTTTTTTTAGTTATGAGAGTTAAATAAGGTGATTAAATTTTGTATTTTTTAAAAATCTAAAAATATTAAGAAATTAGCTACACTTTTAGAATAGTATATACATATAGATTTACGTTTTTTCTCTTTTTTTTAGTTGTGATAATTAAATAAGGTGATTTAATGACACGTCATTGGATTTTTTATAAAGAAAAATTGAAAATTGTTTGAATCATAAGGTGATTTAATGTTCAGTATTTAATGAAATAATTTGTATATTTTAAAAATCTAAAAATGTTAAGAAATTAGTTACACTTTTAGAAATGACTTTTACTCTTTTAGAATAGAAAATATTTAAAATAGACGGATAAAAAAACATGCCATCAATAACCAATGAAATAATAATTCTGTTAGAAAAAATTTAGTACCCTTTTAATTAAAGTAAATATATATATATATATATATATATATATATATATATATATATATATATTCCAAACTAAATAAAAGTTAACAATTAAGTGTAGATATAGATACAAAATTGTTAACAATTATAATAATTTAGTGTTTTTTAGTGTGATTAATTTGGTACTTTTTAGAATTCCAAACAGAATTTGAATTAAAAATTATAATAATTGTTAGTAAACAAATTTAATGTAAAGTAGTTAATGAAAATTATTTTATATTTTTTAAAAATATAAAATTTCTTAGAATGGTATAGATATAGATAGATGAATATAGATACAAAATTGTTAACAATTATAATGATCCGGTGTCTTTTAGTGTGATTAATTTGGTACTTTTTAGAATTCCAAACAGAATTCGAATTAAAAATTATAATAATTGTTAGTAAAACAAATTTAATGTAAAATATTTAATGAAACTTATTTTATATTTTTTAAAAATCTAAAATTGTTAAGAAATTTGTTACACTTTTAGATATAATAATTGTTAGTAAAACAAATTTAATGTAGAATATTTAATGAAACTTATTTTATATTTTTTTTAAATCTAAAATTGTTAAGAAATTTGTTACACTTTTGAAATAATTTTGTATTTTTAAAAAATATAAAAATATTAAGAAATTAGCTGCACTTTTAGAATAATATATATATATATAGATTTACATTTTTTTCTCTTTTTTTTTTTTAGTTGTGAGAGTTAAATAAGGTGATTAAATTTTGTATTTTTTAAAAATTTAAAAATATTAAGAAATTAGCTACACTTTTAGAATAGTATATATATATATATATAGATTTACATTTTTTTTTTCTCTCTTTTTTAGTTGTGAGAGTTAAATAAGGTGATTTAATGACACGTCATTGGATTTTTTAAAAAGAAAAATTGAAAATTGTTTGAATCATAAGGTGATTTAATGTTTAGTATTTAATGAAATAATTTGTATTTTTTAAAAATCTAAAAATGTTAAGAAATTAGTTACACTTTTAGAATAGTGTGTGTGTATATATATATATATATATAGATATATATAGATTTACATTTTATTTTTTTATTTTTTATAAGGTGATTTAATGACACGTCATTGGATTTTTTATAAAGAAAAATTAAAAATTGTTTGAATCATAAGGTGATTTAATGTTTAATATTTAATAAAATAATTTTGTATTTTTTAAAAATCTAAATGTTAAGAAATTAGTTATACTTTTATAATAGTATAGATATAGATATAGATTTTAGGTTGTTATGATCTGTGACTATTATTTTTTTTTACAAAATAAATACATAAATAAATCTAATAATATGTACTTAATATGTTGGAGTTTATTTGAGGTACTGTTAACTATTTTTTTTCCTCATTAATATACTTTCATCCTCTCACACTCAAAATTTAATCTATTTAAAACCAACTCTTTTATCCATCAGCCGTAGGATATATAAGGATTTGATCCTGTCCTGCTATCTACCAGAAGATTTTAGAATTACTTACTGGCTCAAAGATAGCTTGCATCTTTTCAGTTCCTTTAAATTTTCTTTAAAGTGGCCCAGTTAGGTTAGAAACGGATCGGGTTAGCAGAAGATTTTAGAATTACTTACTGGTCAAAGATAGCCCACCTTATAGTCCCAAGACTTGCATCTTTTCAGTTCCTTTAAATTTTCGACTAAAGTGGCCCAGTTAGGTTAGAAACGTCTCAACCCGCTTGTGTCTCGATAGTTTAGGGCTTTAGCTTTTAGGGCTCTATTAGTCAAAGCATCCAAGGGAAGAAGAACAGGGAGGGGAGAGAGCATAGCTGTTACTCGGAACCTCTTCGTGTCCACTGTCAACCAAATTTCACTCTATTCTTCTCACCGTTTAACATTGACGATCGTAGGTGAGTTTTCTCGCAATCATTTTTTTTCATTTCGTTTTCCTTTTCGAACCTCTATATATATATACACACACGCATGTCTGTTTATGTGCAAATAATGTGCACTGAACCTATCTACTATATCACACCACTTGATGAATAGATGAGATTAGTTTTAAGACTGCAAAATGGAAGAGAAGTCTTGACATCCTTTAACTAGATGACAGAGAGAGTGGTGTATGGTTTAAATTCTGTCTGCTTACATTAAATCTGCAGTTTGCCATCTATTATTATGTTTTTTTTTTTTTTTTTTTTTTTTTTTTTTTAAATGAATATATTATTATGCTTGTTTATAGTGTTTGCTAACTTTTTATTTTTATTTTTTTTCCATCAGTAGTATAAGTTTTGTAATCCTTTTTTTTTTTTTTTTTTTTCCTTCCTTTTATGCTAGATTGTGTTGCATTTTTAATGTTAGCACTTGATTATGCGTGGATTGTGTTGTTGTTGTTCCATGATCGCATTGCTTTGTATGATATAAATCAATTAACTTTCTTGTTGTTGTTGTAGAGATAGTTGTTAAATATTTTGAGAAATTAGCACCTTGTTTTTCTCTTGCAGCTGAAGATTATATAGTGTTGGGTGATGTTTGATAACCCAATCAACTCTTAATTCTGAATTAATTAAGTCTTTATTTAATTAAGTTCTTCTGATAATGAAATTTAGGTACCACCTAAAATATTAAGCTCCCTTTAAAATTTTAAATGAATGAAAAAATTTTGGGAATGAAAATGAGATGTTTATCTGTTTCATAGTTTATCTTGAAACTGTTCTAATTGTTGCTTTAGTGAGAGGAAGAAAAAGGGGTTGTGTCGAACCCTGCAACTTTTCTTTAAGAGGTGAACGAGATACTATCCAAGCTTAATGTAACAAATATTGCTTATATTTTAAATAACAATTGAAGCTCATATAAATATTCCTCCCTGAAAATCATTTGAAACTGGTGTTCCCTATGTAAGATTCGCTTTGCATCCAGGCTTGTTCCATTCTGTAAAAATGGTAACTGAATTGAGAGTGTTCTAATGAGTTGACCTTTAGTGCTGAGCTGAAGAGAAAATGTGGCATAGTGACTTTACAAGTTCATCAATACCATGCTAAAGCCATTATGCGCTCTGACTTTATGTAAAATTTAATTGAATTAATTGCTTTAAAGTTTATTTTGGTCATAAGTATCTGCGTAGCTTTAGTGAAGCTTCTTGCAAACACTCACGCATCAATAGAACTCTAGAATTAGAAATTAATATATAATAACCTCGCATAAAAGGAGAGACCACACTTTGTGATGACACGGGTAGAAATAATGGATAACCTGCTGATCTGTTCTCGTAGAAAATTACCTGATTGTCGGGTACAAAAGATACTTACTCAAGATCAGAAATTTATGTGGGCACTTCAAACACGGCACACACATAAAGAGATATGTATAAGAGAGATCTCTTGGAATTGTGGTTGAGAAATAGAAGCTTCTGCCTTGGAAAATTATAGCTGACAAATATACAAAAAAAAAAAAAAAAAATTCGGACGTATGCAACTAGAAATTTCACTTCATTCTTTATGCCAGTCTTTGTTGTGGGCACTGATCATAGTTATAAATATGTGCTCCTCTACAACTATTCTCCTTGTGTACCACATATATTTGTCAGTTTCTGCAACCTACCAGTTACCATGTGCATGTGGTGAGACCATTCCTTCCAGTGAACAAGCTAAAGGTCCTTCATATTTATATTCCACACTACATCATCCCTCTTCCACTCTCCCTCTGCCTTGCTTCAATCATTTTCATTCTCGTGTCACTGCACCTGATACTCCAATGCTCTTCACTGGTCTTCTGCAATCTATCAGTCACCGCTGGAAAACCATAAAACATTTCAGAAATAGACTCCCTTAGCTTCTCAATCAAATAGCAGAAATTGGAGATGAAATGAGAAAATTGATCAAGATGGTTTAACCATATGCAACAAATAATCAATAACCACACCATTGGGAAGGAAAGAGTGATGTGGTTCACATGGAGATTAGCGTTAATGAATAGGGAAAAATCAAAACTAACTTGAGTTGAAATATAGAATGATATGATATTTTTTTTTAATCTGAATGAGGTTATGACCTTTGGTAGAGCAAAATGTCTAAAAACGATTCATGTACCAATTAAGAAGAAGCTTTATTAAGCTACACAAATTTAGATGCTACTTCAGATGCTAAATCAGCGGAATAAAAAGTTGTTGGGAAACAAAATTGGTCCAATGATGAAGAATCATTCTAACTTTTTCTCTGGGAAGGTTAAACGATTTTATTCTAAAAAAATGTATGAAGAAAATGAAAAGACGGCCTGGAAGAATTTGGGTTGAAGAGGTCAGAAACAGCATGATGATTTATGATTTGGCAACTTACCCACCCAGCCTAGGTTGAGCTGATAGGTTAAAATGGATATATATAGCTAGGCTTACGAATTAGATGTAGTGTTTTTTATTGAGCTTAGTTGAGTTGAACAATGTCATTAATTTAAGGTTCTTTAATTGGATTTATCTGGCTGAGATCCATGAATGAGGGCACTGATCACACACACACATCTAATGAGGCTCATGCATTACCCTGGCAGCAGATTATACACTTTGTCTGTCTCCATAAAGATTTAGTCATTTAAAAGGAACGCAACATTGTGATTTGTGGAAAAAAAACTTGTTTTTAGAATGCATCATTGCGATTTGTGTAATTTTACATAGTAGTTCTTCATCTTCTTTTGATTTACCTGATTAGTTTATCTTTTATCTGAATTCTGCAGCTTCGGAGGTGGAACTTGTTTTCCTCTGTTTTTCTTCCATTTTATTTCTTAATAATCTTCGTTTGGAAATACCCGTGCAAATATATCATATTAATAATAAAAGCGTACAAGGAATGATGAGTTTGGGTTCTAGAGACATTTTAGAGAGATATTCTTATAAGCATATGTGAAGATGAGGAAACCTGCTCAACATGCTTCTGGGCCCATATGGCAAACATCTTTGCGATCACTGTCTACTGTTATTGTATTTTTAATTAAATGGAGAGCTTGTGATAGCAGTATAGCACTAGAGATGCAAACAAGTGCTGATGTTACCTTAATTCCCATAAGACTCTGGTTGTTTGAGAACTTTTGAGGTATAATATAGCGTGCTTGCTTAGTAGAACAAAACGGTGTTGCTGATCTACTGGTTACATTATTCTTGCCACTGCAATATGTTCTTACTAATATGTTGAGTTATTACAAGTAAATATTGAAACTTTTAAAAGAAAAAGATGAAAATAAGGTAACAAAATGGCTTTTGAATTAACTCAAAATTGTTTTCTGAACGTGCATTGTAACAATAGCATAGAATATTGATTCACTTACCAAAGGGCCTCTAGCCCAATGGTATTGTCTCTCCTCCCCAAAGGGGTAGGTTGAGAGTTTGAGTCCCGCTAGGGACATGTTGTATATAATGGGGGTGTGTGTTTGCTTTTACTTCCAAAAAGAAAATATTGATTCACTTATTTATATTGATCTTGCATGTTTCAGTGGATTGCAAGTGGAAAGATTGCAGGACTCAAATGGAAGCTAAATTCTTTCGTTTTCTTAAGATTGTGGGAGTTGGTTTTAAAGCTAGAGCCGAATTAGAAGGTCGCCTCTTGTACCTGAAATTAGGTTACAGCCACGAGGTTGAATTGACAGTTCCACCTGCTGTCCGCGTATTCTGCTTCAAACCCAACGTCGTTTGTTGCACAGGAATCGACAAGCATAGGGTGCACCAGTTTGCTTCTGCTGTTCGAAGTTGCAAGCCTCCCGAAGTTTACAAAGGTAAGGGTATCATGTACATCGATGAAGTTGTAAAGAAGAAGCAGGGAAAGAAATCTAAATGATCAACCAAATAAGTCGGACTTGTTCCGATTTAATAGCATGAAGCTTTTACCTATGCGGTGTCCGAGTCTGCAAGGTTAGAATGTATCAAAGAGGTGTTTATGTCTGCCTCAAATATCTTTGAATGTCTAGGTTAATGGAAACAATTTTGTTTTGAGTTAATCGAGTCTGAAACTTCATAAAAAAATATTTTCTTGGCATGGTAGAATTTTCTTCTGTAGTATGGTTTTCTGCTCCAGTTATGAATTGTGTGTTGTGAACATGCCTGTATACTGGATAATGTCTGCTAATAAGAGAGCTTCTGTGCCTTATTTTTTTCCCCGGTAAGCATGAGAATATGTTACCAAAAAACAAAAATAACAGAAGCAAAGAGAGATATATCTGTGTATCAAGAGACTGATGTGGATAATAATGGAAGAGACCATGAGAGACATTTTTTCCTACCACCATTGTCATCCTTGTCTCTCTTTTTCTCCTCCCAATTTTTATTTATTTTTAAATGATTTATTTATTTATAAATTTTTTTTCTCTCTCTCTCTCTCTATATAATTTTTGTTTTTGTCGACCTCTCATCAGTTGACTGTGACCATATCCACTCAAGTGACTCAGGCTAGTACTATCTTAATTTCTTCACCTAATTATTTCCTTGTCGTTTGATAGTTAATGATTGTTCTATATACTTTTCTTTTAACTTAATTGGTATTCATTTATAGCTTAAAATCCTACTAACAATCCTCTGTATCTAGGAAAAGAAATAAAGTGAGATTTTGTGAATATAAAAGTGAGATCTCTGTATTTAGGAAAAGAAGTAAAGTGAGATTTTGTGTTCTATCAAATGTAAAAGTGAGATTTCCTGACGACAGTAAAAGTCTTTAACACGAAGGCGCAGTTGTTTATTGAAAATTTTAAGCACTTAACATTAAGGCTTGTTTGTTTGGCCACAAAATATTTTTTTAAATTTTTGATTATTCGTAAAATATTTATAAAAAAAACAAAAAATTAAAAATTAATAAAAATAATATATTTATTAATTTTTAATTAAATATTTTACATATCTCGCCTAACAAATTCGATTTCAACTTTGTCATATAAACATGACAAAGTAAAAATAAAAAATAAAAGAATATTTTGACCAACACTCATTCGCAAATCGTACCCAAGAGTTGCACCTCGACAACTGCACCATCCCCATCCCATAACCGCCGCCACTACCGCGACGACAACACCATCCCCATCCCATAATCGCCACACTAACACCTCACCCCACAATCGCCTGCTGCTCCACCACCGCCACCCACACAATCACCAGCGACCACCTCATCTCCGGTCACCTCCAGCAATCTGCAGCCCTCTCGGCGGCGTAGGGACCCGGTGGGTTAGCTACGGACTCAATTCTGACCAGAACATCGGACGATTCCTTGGCAGTCGGTCATGGAGTTGACGCAAAGGTCCTCGTCGAAGGCGGAGAAGATGGAGGTGGCACGTGAGCCGACAGCGGTGACAGCCTCTTTGATGGATTCAGGGCCAAAGTCTTCGAGGCCCACGTCTTAGACGAAGATTAGGAAACCCTACGCCTAATTCAATGAACCAAAAGAGGGTGTTTTGAAATTACATAAATACCATTTTTTTTTTTTTTTTTTTTTTAATGAGATGGCAAATTTTATTGAAGGTTTTTTTTGTCCAAAAATTATAGGGACAACTTTATCTTCCCCCTGAGGGGATTTTAGCTTCCCCTTTATATATATATATATTAGATAGAGAAATTATTGGGGCAATTTTGTTTTTTATGTTTGTTAATATTTTGGATTAAAATAAATTTAAAAAATGAGGATAAATTTTTGACGACATGATATTAAATTTAAATTTTTAATATGATATTTTGTCAAATCTAAGGAATGTAGTAGAATTAACCTTACAAAATTTTCATTTTAAGTTAGTTTATCCGTTAAAGTGATATTTTTAAAAAATTGGATAATTAGAAGCGTCTAATTTTTTGAGAAGATAGTTAACTCCTCGTACAACAATTTTCTTACCCTTTCAACAGTGGACATAAACAAAAGAAAATGATAAGTGAATTAGTTATTACATGTTATATCCATGTTTTTATAACAAGTAATTGTAAATTATCGCTCACAAAATAACAAAAATTCTTTCGTTTTTTTTTTCACCATTTTTTCTTTTATTTCATAACTAATATTATTATATTTTTTTTTCCAATCCTATATACAATCTAGAAAAAAGTATTTTAAGTAGAGTAATATTATCAAAAGGCTTCTCCAACCTGTTCACATATTTTATTAGGAGAGACTCTTTTAATGAGAAATTTTTACACGGATGACAATCACAAAACAAAATATAATTAAAAAAACGACTGATTGAATTAAATATACCGTTAGAAGCCCAACAAAAGATATCTAGCTGCCCAAATTTAAGGATTAAAGGTCCAAACCCTGAACTCTCTCCCAACAAGTTTACCTCAATTATTTGCGCATTCTGTTGTTTCATGCAGTAGCCCACAATATCGGAAAACAATCTTAAAATGGATTGAGTCAAACGGTTATTTAACTGTCAAAAAGCCAATAGGAAAACAATCTTAAAATGGATTGAATGCATCCAACGGCTGTCCATCCTTCGGTCAGTCAGTTCGGTGCTCGCATTCGTCACTGTAGCTTTTCTCAATTCAAAATCTGAAAGTCAACGGCCATCGGGTTTCTAAGAAGAAATAAATACTCTCTCTTCTTTTTCAATTACTTTGAATTTTCATACTCATAATCCAATTCGTCTAGTTGCTTACGAAAGCTCTCTCTCTCCCCTCTTTTTTACCGCATTATCGCATATATGTGTACATATACTATTATGCACTATATCCATATCTATATATAGTTATATATATATTTTTCATTATTACCTTCTCTCTCTACATACCTCAGCTAAATCAAGTAGGGTTGAGCCACCACCATGCAGGGAGGCGGCGATGCTCAATTCAACACCGTCCGTGGAGGCGGTTCTTCTGGTGGTGGTGGTGGTGGCGGGACGGTGGGGGTTCAGATCCATCACACTCGGAGACTGCCGGATTTTCTACAAAGCGTGAATCTGAAGTACGTAAAATTAGGTTATCATTATCTGATCTCGCATCTGTTGACTTTATGTCTCATACCTGTAATGGCTGTGATTTTGGTCGAGGTTTCACAAATGAACCCTAATGATATCCGCCAATTGTGGCTTCACCTTCAATACAATCTTGTGAGTGTTATAATTTGTTCGGCCGTTCTGGTCTTCGGATCGACGGTTTATATCATGACACGTCCTCGACCGGTTTATTTGGTTGATTACGCGTGTTATCGTGCTTCTGATAATCTCAAAGCCCCTTATCACCGTTTCATGGAGCACTCGAGGCTCACCGGAGACTTCGATGAGTCCTCCCTCGAGTTCCAGCGCAAGATCTTGGAGCGCTCGGGGCTCGGTGAAGAGACTTATGTCCCCGAAGCGATGCATTACATCCCGCCACGGCCGTCTATGGCGGCGGCCAGAGAGGAGGCTGAGCAGGTCATGTATGGTGCTTTGGATATCCTGTTTAGAAATACTCGTGTTAAAGCAAAGGATATTGGAATTCTTGTTGTGAATTGTAGTTTGTTTAATCCGACACCTTCGCTTTCAGCCATGATTGTTAATAAGTATAAATTGAGGGGTAATATTAGGAGTTTCAATTTAGGAGGAATGGGTTGTAGTGCTGGGGTGATTGCAGTTGACCTTGCAAAGGACATGTTGCAAGTTCATCGGAATACTTGTGCTGTTGTTGTGAGTACTGAAAACATGACCCAGAATTGGTATTTCGGAAATAAGAAGTCTATGTTGATACCCAATTGTTTGTTTCGAGTTGGGGGTTCTGCGGTTTTGCTGTCGAACAAGTCTGTTGACAGAAGGCGGGCCAAGTATAAGCTTGTTCATGTTGTGAGGACCCATCGCGGGGCAGATGATAAGGCTTTTCGTTGTGTTTATCAAGAGCAAGATGATGCAGGGAAGACTGGTGTTTCTTTATCAAAAGACCTCATGGCAATTGCCGGCGGGGCTCTTAAAACCAACATCACAACATTAGGTCCTCTTGTGCTGCCAATTAGTGAACAACTTCTATTTTTTTCCACTTTATTGGTTAAGAAGTTGTTCAATGCATCTGTCAAGCCTTATATCCCAGATTTTAAGTTGGCATTTGATCATTTCTGTATACATGCTGGAGGAAGGGCTGTGATTGATGAGCTGGAGAAGAATCTGCAGCTGCTACCAATTCATGTGGAGGCTTCTCGGATGACTCTCCACCGATTTGGGAACACTTCATCGAGCTCCATTTGGTATGAGCTGGCATATATTGAGGCCAAGGGGAGAATGCGCAAGGGTAACCGAGTCTGGCAGATTGCATTTGGGAGTGGTTTCAAATGTAATAGTGCTGTATGGCAGGCACTTCGGAAGGTACAACCATCTTCCAATGGTCCCTGGGAGGATTCCATCCATAAGTACCCCATGAAAGTTGTCACCTAGTCAACAAGAAGTTGGTTTGGACTCTTCATTCAGGGTATTGCTCATTACTAGCCTAGCCTTCTGTATCGTCTTCTTTATTTTCTGCTATTGTACTTTACTGGTCCTTTTTATATTGTTATTGAAGTCAGAATGTGGTTTTTCTTTTCTTGTGTTCCCTTCTTGTTTTACTTACATGTCTAGAGTAGTATGATGTCCTGATTTGCTGATCTTGTACCGTCCTATTCACGAACTTCTTCTTATGCTTCATAACTTTGTGTATTAATATTTTGGGTGCATTTATGAATTTTCTCTTCAAAATGCTTTTCCCTGAGCTTTCTTCATAGAAATGAAAATTGCTTGAAAGTAATAAAATTGGATTTGAGTTGATCAAAGTTGAATGTTTCCCTTAATTTTACAATTAATTTTTTATATATATAATTTTCTTTATATATGTCGAACAAGTTTGGCATTCTACTTTAAATAGGGAAGTATTACTAAAAGGATTAAACATCAGGAAAAAAAAAATACTTTTGTTACAAATGTATATGGTTTTATTAATGTTCCTGTTTGGGGTTAATTTACGCTTTATAGGAGAAGTCTTAAGCAAGTATTGAAAGGAATATTATTGTCCCTGTTCAACAATCTGATGTGCCTATTCCAAAGGTAAATTGGGATTTTCTAAGAACTTTCCTGGTAGCTTCATATAAGTTTTGTAAAAAAAGTTTCTTTTTCTTTCTTTCTTTTGTATGCATCCTGCACATAGAAATTTCTTCTTAATACGCCAAGAGTCATGATTTTTCTTATTGTAATTGAACTAAATGGTCCTACATGCTGGATACTTTTGCATCACTCTAGAGTCTCTTCATTTGGCATAAATTATTTCAACCTTGTGGTGCTGTTACGATGTTCAATTAGTCTGGTCTGGTCTCTTTTACAGCCATGGTTAGAGGTTACTTCAGATCTATCTATCCAGATAGGGCGACCATATAGGCTTTACAAATATGCAGTTTGATGTGCTCAGAATTTTCTTAAATTGCTAGCCAAGCTATTTAAACAATGATGCTTCTCTTCTAACTCCCTTTGTTCCTATTTCCTGATTAGATAATGGACCTTGTAAAGTTTGATAGTCTAGATATGCCATCAGGCATCAAATTGTATAAACTCGTATAAATGGAAAAAAAGACAACATGGTCGGTATGAATGAGGAAATTTATGATCCTTATGCACGTGTCTAAATTACAATTTTGTTGCATAATGATAGTAGTGCTGCCATATAATTCAAAGCAGAAGGATTGAGATAGGGGTTGACTCATATTGCCTGTCAAGATAAGTTGTTCTGTTTGTGTTGGTTATTACAGTTTAATATTGCTCAATCCTCCGCGCCAGTCAGTCTCATCAGAGTTGTTGTGGGTGGCTACAGTTGTTATGTTTGCTCAAAGGCTATAGTTGTTATATTAGCTCAAAGCCTATAGTTGTTATATTAGCTCAATCTTTCATTTGGATTATACATCTTGGACATCTTACTCCTTAAGGGCTCATAATTATATTACGTTGTCAGTTTTGAATGCCTTGTTATATTAGCTCAATCTTGAAATTCTTAAATCATTCCAGTTCTCCACTCTCAACTTTTTGTCCGACAAATTGAACTTGTTACAGTTTTTAGGAAAGAGAATGGTCCTTAGAGCAGACTTAATCTCCTTCAAGTAGATGTTGCTAATGGAACTCGCATGGAGCAGCAGACCTTTCAAACTGAACTTGAACTGTAGTAAGTTCGGGGTTGTCCAGCATTGAAAAGCATTAGTATCCCTTCCAAGAAAATACGAAAGTATGTTTATGTATGCCCTTGAGAGATTGGAGTATGGATGAGGTCATCAAGTAGAGTAGAAATCTGAAAGCTCCATTCTTTTTTACTTGCTGAGTAGTTTATTTGCATTGACTAGCTTCTTAGTGATTTCCATCGCTAAAAGGATAAGCAGGAAAGGTATTTTTGCATTGACTAGCATTGTTGAGAGTGCGTCTTGGGAATAAGATAATTTGGTAAAGTTGAATTTGGTTGTTTAAGAACCACTTGAAATGTAAAAATGTGGTTATTTTTGGATTAAATTAGGAGTAAATAAAAAGCAAAGCAATCACAGGATACTTACGTTTGTAATTGGGTTGAATGATTCAACCTGACTAAACCTACTTAGGTCAATGGAAAGTGATTTTTGAGTTTACACAAACTCAGTATAAGTATCTGAAGTTCAACCAGGCCAACTCAGTCTCCATTTAACATAGCCTTGTAACCCAAATTGCTTTTATTTTTTTCTTTCTCTAATCATTAAGCTCTATGAGACCCTAATGGACTCTTTGTTACTTCACATCATATGCATTCAATTATATCCAAGGGTGGTTTGGATATAATTACCTCTGATGCTGCTGTATTGATTCACTACTACCCTTCTGCCGGTATCACTTTGCTAAATAAGGTATGAAAAGAGCTAATGGCTTTCTGGTTTCTGTCTTCAAAGTTCAAATGTATACAAGGTTTTGTTGTACGGAGATGACAATTTACTGGAAACAGAATGTTGTATCATTTAAGAATCTGATTTTGCGAAACGTTTTTCATTTATTCCGCACTTCGTGTTATTATTACCAATTTGCCTGTTTTTGCAAAAATCTTGATCGTAGACTTTATAGCAATGTATTGTGCATGCAATGTAATACATTTTGTGTGGTTTCATTAGTGTTATGCTAATTATGGAAAGTTATGATGGATCTTGCTATAGATTGAAAACATGTGGAACTAATTATGTTAGGCTTCTTTTTTTCTGTACATTTATTCCTTTCCGTGTCAGGTTTCAATTTAGGTGAGTTTGTCTCCATGGGACCACATCGTCACTCATTAGTTTGAACTTCAGTCTCCATGGGACCGCATCGTCACTTGTTAGTTTGAACTTAGTTAGCAGATGTTTTTAGGGATAATTCCATAAAAATGGTCTTTTGGGGGTCAAATGCCAAAAAAGTGGAGTCAAACTCTAATTTTCTAAATTAATGGAAATTTTGTAAATGCTGACTTGGACATGGAAATGTACTGTAAATTTTCTTTTGATTCCCAAATTGCCCATTCAATGGTGGCACAAAGCTTGAATCTTCTTGTCCTCGCCGGTACCGCGAGTCACCGCGAATCGTCCCAAGTCTGTCTCACCGGCTCTCCAACAGTCGCCAAGTTTGTCTCACCGCCGCTTCATCTACGCCGACTTCCTCCACCAAACCTTGACCCTCTCTTCCTCTCTCAAGACCCATTTCCCCTCTCTCTCTAAAGGCCAGGTCGTCTTCATTCTCTCCCCTCCCTCTCTCCACCTTCCGGCTCTCCCCTCTCTCTGGGAGTTGTCATCTCTCCCGCCAATCCACTCGCTACCGAGTCCGAGTTGGCCCACATGGTCGGACTCAGTAAATCAAAAATCGCCTTTGCAACTTCATCTACTGCACATAAGCTCCCCATCTCTCCCACTTGACACCGTCCTGGTCGACTCAGCCGAGTTCCACTCAATGATGACGATTCCAACAAAAGACAGATATAATCAAGACCGACTCAAGGTGAATCAGTCTGATTCAGCGGATATTCTTTACTCAGTCTGAGTAGGAGAGGACGAATCGGCGCTTGAGGCTCATGTTCTTCCACCGTTGCATGACCTGTTTGAGGCGCACGATTTGGGTGATTTTGTTGACCTTCTTGTCGGTAGAAGCCATTACAGTTCTAGAGAGAGAAAGCTCTGTAGAGAGAGAGAAGGCACAGCGGGAGAAGAGAGAGAGAGGGCCCAATCAATTGAATGGGTAGTTAGGTAGTTTCGCAATAGGGCAGTTTAGGAATTAAATGAAAATATATAGTACCTTTCCATGTCCAAGTCAGCATTTGCAAAATTTTCATTAATTTGAAAAACTTGAGTTTGACTCTATTCTTTTGTCATTTGAACCCCAAAAGACCATTTTTATGAAATTATCCCATGTTTTTAGGGGTCCATGGACCCAGAGATAGTTTGTTAGCTACATGAAAGATAGAGCACGTGATAAACGTGCTGGGGTGTCAAAAAAAAAAAAAAAAAAAAAATGTGCTGGGATCTAGAATGTAAATTGTCATCATGTCATGTGTGAATATTTGGAATATATATAAATATATATATATATTTATAGTACTGTATATCATCACTGTATTGAGATCCTCTAGTGCTGGACGGCTCTGGTGCTGTACTGCAGTGAACGCTCTGTCAATAAAACTGGACCTTACTACTGTTGTGCTGCGTCAATAAAAGTGGACTGCACTGTACTGCAGTGGACGACCTGCTCATCATTGCAGACCTATTTTGAATCAATCTGAAGGTAGAAAATCTTGCCCCCAGGGGCTTGGTGATGGTGGTATTTGTCCAGTTTTTAACCTCAACACTTGCTTTATAATTCCTGATTTAATTGGTGTTGTCGTTGTAAGGTAGGTTGCAGCACTTTCTGTTTATAGTTTGGGGTGGGTTTAAAGACCCTGCTCAAGGGAGTTTCGAGTTTCAAAAAAAAGAATTGTCGAAAATTTGTATGTATTTGGTAATTTTGCTTTTGGGTTTCAAGGTGTGTTGATATCATGCTATCCTCCGATAGTATAGGCCGATGTTTTAAATGCAAATCCACTGTCCGTACTTACCCAAAAAAAAAAAAAAAAAAATTCATCTTTTGTTGTTCTCATTTGATTCGAGGGTTTCACTAGATTTGTTGTAGTTAGTTTCTCATTTGATTCGAGGGTTTCACTAGATTTGTTGTACTAGAAAATAAACTTCACTTTTAGTTAGATATAGAACATTTGAAAAGTAAGCAGAAGAAGGCCGTAAATTCAGCAAGTTAGTTAGAAAGGAGAACACTTGACCGTCACAATTTCATCTGACCGTCACAAAATTGATCACTTGACAAATTCAAGTAAATACGTTTATGTTTATTCTTTTTGTTCAGATGGATAGAAGAAAAGATAATAAACTCATAATTTATTATGTTGTTTAAAAGAAAAGAAAAAAAAAAGGTTTTAATTGTTATTACCATTATATATAACAATATTTATAATATTCTAATTTATAAAAGATAGTAATGTAATTTTCTATAATAGTCCACTTGTCTTTCCTTCTTTTTTCAGCTCGCGAATAAAAA